GCCCACTGTGCAGGTGACCACCAAGGGCCCACCGCACAGGTGACCTGTCAGGGCGCACCAAGGGCCCACTGCACAGGTGACCTGTCAGGGCCCACTGTGCAGGTGACCACCAAGGGCCCACCGCACAGGTGACCTGTCAGGGCGCACCAAGGGCCCACTGCACAGGTGACCTGTCAGGGTGCACAAAGGGCCCATCGTGCAGGTGACCTGTCAGGGCGCACCAAGGGCCCACCGCACAGGTGACCTGTCAGGGTGCACAAAGGGCCCACCACACAGGTGACCCGTCAGGGTGCACTAAGGGCCCACTGTGCAGGTGACCCGTCAGGGTGCACTAAGGGCCCACTGTGCAGGTGACCCGTCAGGGTGCACTAAGGGCCCACTGTGCAGGTGACCCGTCAGGGTGCACAAAGGGCCCACCGTGCAGGTGACCTGTCGGCGCAGCGGCCAGGAGAACACAAGGAGATGAGGTCCCTTTCCCTACCAGCCACGAGAACCACGGACAGTCTGGAAGGGCTGCTCCCGTGCCTGATGCGCGCAGGGGAAACAGCATGGCTTCCAGTGCTTCCCAGCATCTTCTCGCCAGGTGACCTCGGGAGAGTGTCCCTCCCAGGGCTTCCATTTTCCCTCTGCTCAGCAGATGCGGGGCGGCCCCAGGGCGGCTGGGCTGAAGGAAGTGCCGGGATGAGTCCGCGTGCGGCACAGGGCCCCGGAACTGGGGGACAGCGGCTTCCTCAGCGTGCGGTTTCCTGTCTTTTCCCTTCTCAGAGGCCAGGCCGATGCACCTGATGGGAATCCCTGGTGGTGTGTTGGGTTCTGACTGAGCGTGGTGGGCGCTGCCGGGAGAGCGTGCAGCCGGAGGTCAGGAAGCCGCGCAGGGAGGACGAGATCGGGGTCCCTTGTGCACGTGGAGGCCCTGGGGGAGCAGAGTCTGCTCACTTTCAACCAGGCGAACACTTAGGAGCGCTTGCTAATGTTTCAGAAACGTGGACAACCAAATGTTTTTTTCCTGTTTCTTTTTAAATAGGAAATGTTCCTCTTTCATTAGAAGGTAATGTTCTGAAACCAGCATAAATCCTCACAGCACAAAATACCCGTTACAAGAAGAGAAACGATAAAGAGATAAACCCAGAAGAACGAAGGCATGAGTGTACTCACAGTGATGGCTCACAGTCCAGTTGAGTACAATGTGTCTTGGCCCTTCCTAGGGAAGCCGACACCGTACCTGAATGGAAACGTGCAGGAAAAGGACCGGAGGCCGCAGGCCGCCACGGCGGATTCCAACGAGCTCCCCACGCAGGCTCGGCTGCGACCCTGGGCCCATTATTTCTCCCTGAGGCTTCACCACTAGTTCAACGACTGGTACCAAACACAAACCTCGGGAACCCAACGTGCCTCAGCCAGAACCTGAGCCGCTGCCGGACTCTGGTGAGCAGGTGTCCCCGATGGGGTGGGGTGGGGGGCTGCGGTGGCGCGGGCAGGAAGGGAGGCCAGCAGTGACATGGGCGTGGCCAGGCAGAACTCACACCCCAGGTGCTTTCCCACGCGAACCTCGAGGCACACGGACTTCCGGAAGCATCCTGACCAGGGTTCTCGGGTACACTGGAAACATTTCTCGTCTCGGTTCATGGAGTCACAGTGGGAATCTGACGGGCAGGTTAGAGGCTGCTGGAACCTCTCCTGGTTCCCCTTGACAAGCTTACCGGTTGGAACCACATTCGAGGGTCACTGCTCGATTTGTAAGTCCATGTGCCGCTGGGTCACATTTTAAAGTGCTGGGAGCAGAGATGGTCACAGAGGCACTGTTGGTACAATGTACTAATGGGGTCAGCGGATGGGGTGACGTGGTGCTGGGTGAGGGGGCGTGGACAGCCCAGGAGGTGAGGACGTTTAGTTCCTACATCCAGGTGTTGGCCAGGCTGAGAACTTGGGAGGAGCCCAGCAGACGGGCTGGACACATCACGCCTGCTTGGTGCTACAGGGGGCTGGAGGAACGCGAGGTCTGTGACAGGGGAAGGTGCTCCGGGTTGCTTTGGGGTCAACAGTGTGCCCGTCAGTAGCAGGCAGGAAGCAGCTCACCGTCCTGCGGGCTTCTGTGAAGAAAATACACCTGAGCCCAATGCCCCAGGAGCGTGAGGCTGTGAGGCCTGTGGGCAAACGGCCAGCCTGCAGCTCATCCCTGCCGGGGGCACCCCGCTGTCCTCACCCAGCTCGGCCCTTCGAGCACCACGGAGCGACACCACCTCATGGGCATGGGCGCCGCACAGCCTCTCCCATTTCCTGGCACCTTCTGGAAGGAGCTCCATCCAAGAACCTTACTGAAGCCCAGACACAGCCCACCTCATTCCGGGTGTGCGGAGCTCGCGCGCAGCTGAAGGAGGACGATGAGGCGGGTGGACGGAGCTCCATTCTTCCCGAGGCCGAGCACGCCCTGCTCTGCCGAGCTCTCCGACAGACTCCGGAGTTATGTTAATGCACATTCCCATCATTTCCCCAATTAGGCTGACAAATAATTAACTCAGTGAGTTATTCCTTCTCCCTTTAATATATGGGCATTTTAATCGCTCCCTTTCAGCTTCAAGGACCGGCTCTACCCGCCAGGCCCTCAGCAGTCAGCATGGAGGCCGTGGGCGCCTCGAGTACACGCAGGGCTTCCCGGCAGCACACAGCGTGTTCAGCTCTGGCCCGCACAGAGCCCGCAGCGGAGGGGCCCTGGAGGAGCTGTGGGTTCGCCGCTTCTACTGATTCCAAAGTGGGCGGTTATAAAGCTTCCTGAGGCCACTGCGGGAGGCTGATCTGAGACCAGTGTCACTCCATTTTATGCCAAGAAACTGTGTATCCTCAGGGTCTGACTCCGTAGCAGGGTCACCGTAGAAAGGAAGGCCCAGAGTGGGCACCGCCCGTCCAGCGGCTGTTTCCGTGCAGCTCTGCTCCCTGGCATGCGGTCTGGGCAGCGAGGCCGTCACCAGTGCCATCACCAAATCTCCTCTGACGCCAGAGGCTGCTGACGTCACCGCAGTCTTGACTCAGGAGACCAGTCGCTGGTTCTGCCACCTGTGAGCCATGCAGTCTCAGCCCAGCTTCCGTGGAGCCAGATGATGCTGTTTCCTTAGGCATAAACGACTGCAAATGGAGCGGCCCGGTCTAGCCTGGGACGGCAAGCAATCTGAGGGGCTGCCCCCGCTGTTTCCACCTAGGGCCACTGTCCGGGACGCCCCAAGACCGTGCGGGACCCCCGGACGTGACCGAGCGGGTCGCCTGGAATGTGTGCTCGACAGGCTGTCCCCAAGGACACACGAGGGAGCCGTAAAGGCTGTTGGAAGGCACAGCACTGCCCGGACACACATCCCCGCGCCCTTCTCATGGCAGCGTCAGAGCTGGGGACTCATTGCCTCAAAACCCTCTGCCTCTGGAGGTGCTGCTGCCGTGTTGGCCACCTCTCCCCCTGTCACCCATGGAGCATTTGTTCTCCTCACGCCGCACGTGGGCTCATCACTCAGCTCTGACTCTTTAATGGGTCCCCCGGCCACCTGGATAGAGGCCACACTCTGCAGCCTGCTGCCGGCTCCATCGGGCGCGGCTCTGCACCCTCTGGGCGCGCACGCACCGCCCCGGCGCCCCAGCAAGGCTCAGTTACGCGGTGTTTGCAGCGATGCCGCCATTGTCAGTGTCCCCAGGACACAGGCCGCTCAGAGAGAGCCTTCACTGTCCTGGTTTGCAGGCGTCTCATTTCCCAGTGAGAATTAAGAGTCACTTGCAGATGAACAGGTCCTTCCTGTTGGTCATGCATTTGAATATTCCTGCTCGTCACCGGGAAAGCAGACCGGCTGCACTTAATTTTTAGGGAGGATTGATGGATGGACTCCAGGATGACAACAGACAGCCAATCAATAAGGGAAGATGATAACAGCGTGTAATATCAGGGAACATTAGGTCTCAGCCATGATTTGGGGAGAGAAGCGGGCAGTTAGAAACCATGTCATTTGAACAAGGTCGAAGCCTGGGAGCAGTAAAAATGCCCAAGCAAATAAAATCACACCTGCGCGGCAGGAGCGGGAACGGAGAGGGGTTTCAGGCTCGGTGGGGAAACTGCGGTCCCGGGCAGGGATCCGGGCAGCGGGTCACGGGCAGTTGCGTCGAGAGGGTCTATTTAGCACTAAGAGAGCAAACGGAGTGCCTTGGCGCGCCGGCTCCTGCTGGCTGAGCCCTCCTCCCGGAAACAGTGGGGAGCCGAGGGAGGGGCGGGGCGAGGTGTGAGGCCCATGGCTTTGCGGCATCCACCTGCCATTTTGGGGGAAGACATTCTACTGATCTAGTAAATTGTTTGCTTGTGTGACTGAAAAAAGAAAACAAACAAAAAGCACCAATGGGGGAAATGTCATCCCTACAAACCCTATCACATCACAAAAAACGACGTTCTACGTGACCCTTCCCTTCGAAACCCTTCCCTGGGTCGTGTAGGGCTCCAGAGACGCAGGGACCAGGATTCCGGTGGAACCAGCCCCCCAGCACCTGGAGACTCGGAGACCAGCTCGAAGTGTGTGCAGACGCTGCCTGTCCTCACTGGCCCAAGCAGCAGCTAGAACACGCTGCTCGCTTCTCCCGGACTGCTGGAGTTCCGGAATGGATGGAGAGATTTAGTGAAATAGGGGGTGAATCCTCTCTCTTTTTTTTTTATCCTCACCTGAGGACATTTTTGCACTTATCTTCAAATAGAGCGGGAGGGAGAGTGGGAGGAAGAGAGAAAGACATCAATGTGAGAGAGACACATTGAGTAGCTGCCATCCACACGACTCCAACCAGGGCCGGGGACAAACTGCAACCGGGGTACATGCCCTTAGCGGGAACCGAACCCGGGACTCTGGTCCGTGGGCTGACACTCTAACTGCTGAGCCAAACCGGGCAGGGCGGATTCTCTCTTTTTATATCTAGCTGCCCCGATCCAGCTTTGCACACCCTGCTCCCCAACAAAACGTCTGCAGCGTGCGGGAAGGCCAGCTCACCTCCTTGTAAGGTGTACTCGGTCACCGCCCTGCTGAAGACTCCCAGGCCGGCGCTGTTGTAGGCGGCCACCTGGATCTCGTACTGCGTCCAGACGATGAGCTCAGTCAGCAGGCAGTAGCTGACCTCGGGGCTGGCGACGTCCCTCTGCTGGTGCTCTCCAGGCAGGCCGGCCAGGCGGTACCTGCATCAGAACGCAAAGAGTGGCTCGGACCGGAGGTCGGTCTACCCGCCGCACGTCAGCAGGGCTGCCGCCATCAGAACAAGGGGAAGCCCCGGGATTCAGGCCCCCGAGTGGGAAACAGCTCTCCGAGGGAGGGTAGCAAATGCACTAAGGGTGGAAATGTCAAGAAAGCCAGGACTCTGAGGTGTCTCTCCCCTCTGCTGCAGACCACCTGCACTGGGTGAGGCGTGAGGCGCCGGTGCCCCTGGCCCAGTGGCGGTGCCGGGGCGGATAGGGTCCTTCCATCACTAATGCACGTCAAACCCCGTTTTTCCTTCATACCCCATCAGCCTCGGCTCCCCCGGCGGCACCCGACTGGAGGGGCCGCGTGCATGAGCAAGGGCAGGTGTGTCATGGCGTGGTCGAGACTGTCAAAGCCACGTGATGGTCATCAGGCCCCAACAACGGGAGGAGGGCTGGTGTGGAGTACACGGCGCGGAGGCCACTAGACAGCCACCTGGAACAAGGTCAGAACTGGCTCCACGCCCACACTGGGCAGCAGCATGTCCTGGTGTGTGAGCGGGCCATGGGCCACGCATGCCCATGTGGCACAGACTGGACAGGACGGTTTCCTTAGGGAGAGCGCACTCGAGGGGACCTCCCCACACAATGCACGTCCAGGGAGGAGCCAGGAAACGAGCTCCCCAAGACTCAGGTGGGGAGAAGACTTATGAGCGAGGAGGTCTCAACCAGTTCTCGACTTCTCTGAGCCTGGGCCGCCACCTCCCGCAAAGGCGGATAACGGCGCTTCACAGCGGCTGCAGGAAGGCGGGAACGGCGACCGAAGGCCCTGACCGTGTGAAGCGCCTCGCACAGCTCCTTTCTGGAAGCACCTCTTCCAGGAAGTCTGCCGAGAGAGAACCCAGTTCTGAGAAACCGGGGCGTTGCGCACACCCGTCTTCTCCAGGCATCTCTCTGCCCGTCCATGCCAAGTAAACCACAGGACCCGCATCGGGGACACGGGCTGGGCTCTCTGCGTGGCAGTGGGCAGTCCCTTCTGGCCAGAGGCTCGGGTGCTTTTGTAGCGATCACAGAACATCCGGGACAGTCACGATTCCTAACAGAAGGGCAGGTTGGCGGGCAGGATGGTGGGTAGGTAACCACGGTATCGCGTCCTCCCACAACCACATCAAAGTTACAACTAAACTACAGAACAACCATCATTCAAAATCGCCTGACATGGAGCTGAATGGAAGTCCTACAACTACAGAATTAAAGAAGCAGCCACATCGAGACTGATAGGGGCGGAGGGGACGGGCTGCTCCCACACCCTCGTGTGGCGGATAAAAATCAGGAGGACACCTCGGCTGGGAAGGTCCTCTCTCAGGACTGAGGGGTCCCCGTCCCTCACCAGGTGCCCCGCTCAGGGTTCCAGTGCCAGGAAGAGAATCCCCATCACTTCTGGCTGGAAAAACCAGCGGGAACTGAGGCTCAGGGAGGCTGAGGCGGCTGGAGCCCCAGGCAGCTCCTTTTAAAGGGCCCGCGCATGGACTTATCGGACTGTCTCCCTCTAAGCCTGGAGGGGAGGCAGCTCGAGGGGCGCCAGAGACATACAGGGAAGAACTGAGCTGTTTGGCACTGGAGTGAGGGCTGGAGAGGGGGCTTTCTCCAGTACAAAGGCCTTTGTTCCTTTGGTGAGGCCTTCCCTGGGGCGGCAGACAGAAGCCATATCTGGGACTCCAGCAACCTGGCTCACACTGGTAGCCCCGCCCTGCTGACTCCCTGAGGCCCGGCCCCACACAACTTTCAAGCCCACCCAAGCTGTTGCCAGTTGCTTAACCATAGGATTGGCCTGTCTTGGATCCTGCTTCAGGTTTTCCTAAATTCTTTCAAACAAGCAGCATCTGGTCTCAGCGAGCCCCATACTGCTCATTAAGTAATACACAGAATCAAACACAGGGAGGCAGCCCAAATAAGGAGACAAAGAAACAGGTCCCAAATGAAAGAACAGGAAAAATCTCCAGGAAAAGAACTAAGCGAAATGGAGATAAGCAACCTAACAGATGCTGAGTTCAAAATACTGCTTATAAGGATGCTCAATGAACTTAGTGAGAACCTCAGTGAACTTAGTGAGGGCCTCAAGAGCATAAAAAAGGACCAATCAGAAATGAAGGATGCACAGTAAGAAATGAAGGAGGCACTAACTGAAATAAAGAATAATTTACACAGATTCAATAGTAGAGTAGGAAAAGCCAAGAAGAAAACCATCGATTTGGAATATAAGGAAGCAAAAAACACCCAATCAGAACAGCAGAAAGAAAAAAGAATAAAAAAAATGATAGTGTAAGGAGCCTCTGGGACAACTTCAAGCGTGCCAACATTCACATCTTGGGGGTGCCAGAAGGAGAAGAGAGAGAACAAGAAGTCGAAAACCTATTTGAAACAATAATGGCAGAAAACTTCCCTAACTTGGTGAAGGAAACAGACATACACGTCCAGGAAGCACAGAGAGTCCCAAACAAGATGAACCCAAGGAGGCCCACACCAAGACATATCATCATCAAAATGCAGAAGGTTCAAGACAAAGAGAGAATCTTAAAAGCAGCAAGAGAAAAGCAGTTAGTTACCTACAAGGGAGTTCCCATAAGACTGTCAGCTGATTTCTCAAAAGAAACTTTGCAGGCCAGAAGGGAGTGGCAAGAAATATTCAGAGTGATGAAAAGCAAGAACCTACAACCAAGATTACTCTATCCTGCAAAGCTGTCAGTTAGAATTGATGGCCATATAAAGAGTTTCCCAGACAAGAAAAAGTTAAAGGAGTTCATCACCACCAAACCATTATATAAAATGTTGAAGGATTTTTTTGAAGAAAAAGATAAAATATATGAACAAAGAAAATGGCAATGAATACATATCTATCGACAATGGAGTCTACAAACAAAATGAACAGGCAGAACAGAAACATTCTCATAGATACAGAGAACATTGTGTTGGTTGCCAGATGGGAGGGGGGTTGGGGGAATGGGTGAAAAAGGTGAAGGGATTAAGAAGTACAAACTGGTTGCTAGACTGACAAACCTCAAAGAGAAGGGGGTTGGGGAGTGGGAGGAAATAAACCAAAGAACTTATATGCATGACCAATGGACACAGACAACAGTGTGGGAAAAGGCAGGAGGGGGGCGGGAGTGGGGAGGAGGGGGTCAGTGGGGGAAAATGTGGAACATCTGTAATACATCCAACAGTAAAGATAAAAAAGAAAAGGAAAAGAAGGAGGGCAGGACGTCCTCTGACTGGTGGGATGTGTTGCCCAGGAGACCGTCTTGGACAGAACAAGATGATTTTTTACACGGAAATAACAGGAGAGTGTTTACAAAGGACGTAACCCTTATGCTCCTCTTAAAGAAACACCCTGCCCATTATTATAAATATTTGATCACTGTGCACACATCTCAACTGCTTCTCGCGGCCAGAGGCGCGACGTGGTTTATTTCACTCCTCTCTTCCATGAGCTGCTCCAGATCTGACACGGAGACGTGTGCCCTGGAGGATGTGCACTTGCAGACACGGCTGATTTGCAGACCGGAGGATCATTCGGAAATGTTTCCAAGCAAATTCACTTTGGCACGGGTCTTCAATTCCTGCAGACTATGATATTCACGGGCCCTGGGTCCTGCACCCTCATGTTAGGGCTTCCTTGATTTAAGCCCTTAGAAATGCAGATGCCCTCCCTCCCAGCACTCGGCCCCGCCAGCACTGTCCCGGAAAACCCTTTAACAGGAGTAATCCCTCAGAAGAGAGACATGTGCGGTCCCTGATGGGGCCTCGTGACATCAATAGGTTTTATTATCAAACTGCGTGCCCTGAGCGGGTTCTGTTGGCGGACTTTTAAAGTCCTGACTTGGCAGCGTAGCTGAAGGAAACTTTTCCTCTGTGCTCAAAAGACAGATGCGGCTGGGATGACGGACATGTCAGGCCTGGGCCGAGAAGTCAAGGCCAGTTGTTGTCATCAGTGATGAGCACAGACAAGAGAGTGAGCCGAACAAGGGGCGCGTGGCATGATGCGATGGAAGACCTCAGCCTTCAGGCTGGGGGAGCACCACACAGGAACTGGAGCCCACAGTGCCCCCTGTCTGCAAGGGGCAGGCTGCAGTCCCTTTACCCCTGAACCGGAAGGGTAGCTGGGGGCACAGCGACCCCAGGGCCCTAGCTGATTCCAGCCCTGCAGCCCTCTGTGCACCCCCAGGGACAGCTGCGTTTAAGCCTCTTCAAGCAGATAGTGATCTGGCCAGTGCTGACTGAGAGGATGATTCATAGGCTTGAGGAGGAGCCTGGAGGGAGGCGGTGACTCCGCTGACAGGCAGGTACCCCCAGCCCAGCACACAGACGAACGTATGAAAGAGGAAGGCACAATTGCACAAATACACACCGGGTGAGTTGTCCACCATACGCAAAGATGAGGGGCTCGAGGAAGCAGCTTTTCATCATTTCTTACATTTACCTAAGAAATGACATTTACCCACTGAAAACCTGTGTTAACCCAGCATCTTCTGATCATGGCTCAGAACGGGCCGGGCCAGGCCAGGCATTCGGCGGAAGGTGATAATGGGCTGGTAAGGGAGTCAAAGTTCATGTCAGATTAATCGTTATGTCCACAGCTGTACAATCTGTTAGAAGAGCTTGGACAATGATCCTGCAATACTGCTTTAATTATTTATTTTTTATCCTCATCTGAGGACATTTTTGCACTTATAAAACGAACCCGGGTCTCTCTGGTCCGCAGGCCGATGCTCTAACCACGGAGCCACACCGGTCAGGGCTACTGCTTTATTTTTTACTTTTGTTGACAAACCACTGCAATGATCACATTCAGGGCAGTTGTTAGATGAGTGTGGTTCCGGCAAAGGAGACGTCCTCTCCCAAATGCAGCCCAGACTGGCACCGCCCTCCCAACGTCCTTACAGGCCTAGCGCCCTGAGGAGGCAGAGGTAGCAACGGGCCACGCTGGGGCCACCTCCGCCCTGTAGGTGTGTGAGTATGGCCTGCCCCGTGTTCAAAGTATCTTGATTTCATTTCCAACACTGAAAAACTGTGAGAGTGTGGGTAAAAAGCTAGATTTTTCCAATTTATTTCAAACACGAGAAAACCTGGAAATACTGGAAAACATACTTGCGTGGTAACACGGGCTAATCCAATCAGTTGTACTGCTGTTCATTAAAAATCACAAGGAGCCCTGGCCGGTCTGGCTCAGTGATGAGAGCGTGGCCCGCGGTCCAGAGAGACCGGGTTTGGTTCCTGCTAAGGGCCTGTACCTCGGTTATAGTTTGTCCCTGGCCCCTGTTGGGGTCACGTGGTTGGCAGCCAGCTGATGTGTTTCTCTCACATCGATGTTTCTCTTTCTCTCTCTTCCTCCCTCTCGCTATATCTGAAGATGAATGCAAGTGTCCTCAGGTGAGGATAAAAAAAAAATCATGAGGAGCCCGACTGGTGTGGCTCGGTGGTTGAGCATCGACCCTGCACCAAGAAGTCGCTGGTTCGACTCCCAGTCAGGGCACATGCCCAGGTTGTGGGTCCGATCCCCAGTGGGGGGCGTGCAGGAGGCGGCCGATCGATGTTCTCTCATTGATGTTTCTCTCTCTCCCTTTCCCTCCCTCTCCCTCTAAAATCAATGAAGACAAAAAAAAGTCCTGATGTCCATCATTCATGCCCTGCTAAGAACTCAGAACGAGAGGCCTTGCCCCCACCTGTACCGCTGGCCTCCACGGCTCTGCCACCAAGCAGCTGCTGATGTGGTGCCGTGTGCACATCACGGTCCGACACGCACCACCTGGCTGCCAGGCTGCCCACGCTCCCGCCCTCTGCTGCGTGTGTGATCCCCCCCCCCCCCGAGTCTGCAGCCTCAGCAGACAGACCCTGGCTCTCTGAGGGCCGCCCGGCGACACCGGTCACAGGTACTTGCCTGAGGATGTACCCGCGCAGCACCCCGTTGTGCTCCGTCTCGGGGGGCGGCTGCCACTGCACCATGATGGACTGATTGGTACGCCCACTGGCCACTATATTTTTCGGGGGAGCACTGGGTGGTTCTTCAGGTAACATCAACCTGGAAACCAGACAGGAGGAAAGGGGCGGGCGTCAGACCAGGGGTGCGCACTCGCCTTCTCCGTCTTGCTGGGTCTGGGGCCCAGCTGTTTACCAAAATCGAGACGAACGACGCGAAACATGCGGCTGGTCACACGGAGGGGACGGCGTGGCACCGTCCCAGCGAGTCAGCTCACGGGAAGGCAGGTGAGCCTGCGGCAGGCGGGTGCCGGGCTCTCCCACAGCGCACAGGCCTGAGCGCGCCGCCCGAGGCGCCTCCCCGTTTTCTCCGGCTCCTTCCAACCTCTCACACCCAGCCCCATGTTTGCAGAAGAGGAGCTTGTGTCCACTCGTGTCCAGCTGGCGCCCACTGAGAGCCCAGGCTGGCTGGGAAGGGCCCCTTGACATAGACGGCAGAGTTTCCCACCTGCACCCCGGGGATGGGTCAGTGGCAAGACCACCGGGGAACGTGACACCCCACAGAGACCCTGCAGCTCATTCAGCTCCCGTACGACACCCTGCTGGGTGTTCACCTGTCAGGACAGCGGCGCCCACTCCCACCTGGCTGGCAGCCAGAATGGATCAAGGGCACTGGCACTGTGAACTCGTCATCGCAGTGAGAGGGCTGTGCTCTCCGGAACGACGCTGAGGAACCCAGCAGACCCACCGCCCGCCCGGCTAGTCTCCCCGCGCACGCCTCCGCAGGCTGCCGCGGGCTGGGGGTGGATCACGGCCGTTCCCTCCACCTCCCTCCGGGCTGCTCTGCTCTCAGGCCCACACGCTCCCGCCCGTGCCGTGGGACGTGCACCGCGTACCTGCTCGTCTCCGCGCTGTACTGGCCCTTGCCCACTTGGTTCACGGCGCACACCCTGAACTGGTAGGTGCGAGCCGGAGTCAGGCCTCGCACGGTGACGCCTGTCATCTCGGGGCCCACGTCTGACAGATGCACTTTCCATGGAGAGTCTGAGAAAAAGAGCAAAACAAACTCAGCCCCCTGGGAGCACACGTCTGCAGGAACCAGTGAACGGCCCACGTCCCCACGCACTCTCTCCTGCGCAGCGCGGCACCTCCGGGAGACGGTGCTGATCTGCAGCCCACACGTGGAAGCCGCGGCTCGGGTCACGTGGCGGGGAACCGCGAGCCTGGCCTCGGACTCAGCTTTCCCGCTCCAAGTCCAGGGTGCCTCCCAGCACCCCGTGCTGCTGCCACAAGGGGCTCTCTGGGCCACCTGCACACGGCGGTTTGAATGGTCAGCGTGCTCTCGGCCCCGCGCTCACTGTGCCGCGAGAGGAGGGGCTGCCAGCTCACGCGCTCGGGCAGATCGCAGATCCATCTCCCGGAAGAGGGTGCTGCACATGTCACCCGGCGATGAATGAAAACTATATTCATTAACATTGTAATAAAAGAGGAAATGAGCATGATGGAGACAGATGGGGTGTGCATTCTGCAACCCATCTGCGTGGCGCCCGTCCTGCCCCGCTCCTGAGTGGCTTTGGCTGGAGAGACACCATGAGCTGCGCAGCCAGTGTCTTCCCACCCAGCGCCCCGCAGGTGTGCCGAGCCTCTCCAGCCACGGGGGCTTCAGAGAGCCGGCCAGGCCTGCGTGACTTTCCCGCAGAGCTGAGGCACCCCTGGCCTGGTCATTTCGCAGAGGGTGCCCTGGGTGAGCAAGACCTGGCTGGGCTTGGAGCACCCACTCCGAGTTCCCACCTGGAATGGCTCCAAGGGAAAGATTCCTGTGGAAACCAAACTCCTCCTTGTTCCTTTGACATGGTGAAAGGATCCCTGTCGCCCACATTGGGGAAGGTGACAGGAAGGTTCCCACTAAGGCAGACAGCCCGCTGCATGGACGCCGCGCACACACTCACGGACACCTGCCCTGTGAGGACCCGCAGTCTGCACCTGGGCCTGGAGCAGAAACACACTCGGGTCCAAGAAGTAGCTACAAATGGCTCCAAAGTGAGCCGAGGCCACAGGCAGCGCCCGCCGCCCCCGCCGCCCCCGCCAGAGCTGTCCGCCACCAGGCAGTCCGGTAGCTGGACCCCAGCGGGAGGCACGCCCCTCCGACGCCTGGTGCCAGTTGGGCCACGAAGGCTGAATCTTTCTAATTGTTTCAAATGAAGCTGTTTCCAAAAGCAGCTTTCTGGGAATGCAGTGCTCACCACCAGCTGGGCGTTTCGGTGCTTCGCTTCCTGGTTTCAGGGATGTGGGTGATCTCAGCTGACCAGCCCCTCCCAGGTGTTCCTCAGACGGTGCAGCATCCCCACCTCACCGTGGAAAAGCTCTCATGGCTTCTCCTTCCATGCCGGCTGGCCGGGACCCTCCCTTCCCCAGACAGGGTCTGAGAGCGCCGGCGGGCGGGGCCACCCCAGCAGGGAGAGGGCCCTCCATGCTGCCGCTCTCATCTGCAGACACAGGGTCCTAAGCACAGGGGGCGGGGCCACCCCAGCAGGGAGAGGGCCCTCCATGCTGCAGCTCTCATCTGGAGACACAGGGTCCTAGAGCACGGGGGGCGGGGCCACCCAGCAGGGAGAGGGCCCTCCACGCTGCCGCTCTCATCTGGAGACACAGGGTCCTAAGCACAGGGGGCGGGGCCGCCCCAGCAGGGAGAGGGCCCTCCATGCTGCAGCTCTCATCTGGAGACACAGGGTCCTAAGCACAGGGAGAGGGCCCTCCATGCTGCAGCTCTCATCTGGAGACACAGGGTCCTAGAGCACAGGGGGCGGGCCACCCCAGCAGGGAGAGGGCCCTCCATGCTGCCGCTCTCATCTGGAGACACAGGGTCCTAAGCACAGGGGGCGGGGCCACCCCAGCAGGGAGAGGGCCCTCCATGCTGCAGCTCTCATCTGGAGACACAGGGTCCTAAGCACAGGGGGCGGGGCCGCCCCAGCAGGGAGAGGGCCCTCCATGCTGCAACTCTCATCTGGAGACACAGGGTCCTAAGCACAGGGGGCGGGGCCACCCCAGCAGGGAGAGGGCCCTCCATGCTGCAGCTCTCATCTGGAGACGACGGACGCACCGTGGAAGTTGCACCCGGGAGTGACCGGGCCCCACTGGCTGCTATTCAGTTTTGTCAGTTTCTTCCATCCAAACGGGGGACAAATCCACACCCCGTGAGTCCACCTCGCTCCCCTCGGGACAGCTGCCAGCAGAAGAGAGAAGACAGCAAGTGCTGGCGAGGAGGGGCGGGTGGCACCTAGGACGGGGCAGGAATGTAAAACGCAGCCGCTATGCACCGCAGTACGACGGTCCCTCAAGTTACAGACGGAGCTACCATGCGACTCAGATTCCATTTCACAGTGTGCACCCCAACAAGCTGAGTGTGGACCCTGCACACCCACGTTCTGCAGCTCTGTTCACCAGAGCCGAAAGGTGGAAGCACCCCAGTACCCTCGGAGGATGAATGGACGAACGCAGGGCCATCCACACCGTGGAATATCACGCAGCCTTGAAAAGGAAACGCTGACACCTGCCACAGCGTGGATGGACCTTGAGGACACTGCTCTGTGAGAGAAGCCAGAGCACAGGACAGATGCTGTCGGACGCCACCTGGCGGAGGTCCCTGGAGGAGTCACAGTCACAGAGGCAGACAGGTGGGTGCCAGGGCTGGGGAGGGAGAGTCTCACCAGGACAGAGTCTGTTCGGAAGATGAGAATGCCCTGGAGGTGATAGTGGGGATGGCTGCACAATGAGGTGAGAATTCACCGAGTGCCACTGAACTGCACACCTAGAAATGGTTCGGAGAGTAATTACGTCACGTGTGTTTTACCACAGTTAGGAACACCATGACTGCGGAGACCGTCCCGAGCGTGAGGTGAGAGCCTGGGCAGAGGCCTCTGGCACACGGCCTGGTCCTGGGGGTCCTTGTGCTGAGTCCCTGTCTCCCCAGATGCGCTGTGCTCTGTAGGACCCGCCTGGCATCCCCGGGGGACCACAGGGAGGGAGAGGTCGGGGCTCTTGCCCACGCACTCTCTGCCTTCTTCACCCAGAGGCCCTGCTGGCTCCTGGGCAGCTCTGTAGGACCCGCCTGGCATCCCCGGAGGGCCACAGGGAGGGAGAGGTCGGGGCTCTTGCCCACGCACTCTCTGCCTTCTTCACCCAGAGGCCCTGCTGGCTCCTGGGCAGCTCTGCAGCCTCCGCCTCCGTGAGCTCAGGGTGGGCCCTGCGGGCTGCAGTTCCCGCCCCCACACGTCGTAAACTGTGCACAGGCCTCCTCGATTATCCTGACTCCAGAGTGCCCTCTGATCTGCGGGACCTCGCCTGACACAGGCGCGGTCAAGCCTCTCTCCATCCCCCGCGTCCTGTGATTTCAGAGTCCGCGAGCGCACAGACCACCTGCTCTGTCACGTCCAGGGTCACGGCACGGTCTCAGAAACAGGGGACGTCAAGGAATCGAACCCGTGGCTCTTTGGTCCACGGGCTGATGCTCTAACCACTGAGCCCACCAGCCGGGGTTCAAACAGACTTTTATATAAACAGGTTCTCTTAATCCAAGAAAACAGAAACATTCACAGTTAAGTGGATTGTACAGTGAGCTATGCTGGGAACGTGGAGATCACATTTGGACAAGAATCATACGTCAGAACACTTAACACAGATCTAAGATCCAGATGAACTAAAGAGTTAAATGTATAAAAAGTTAAAGCTTTGAAAACAAACAAACAAAAAAAAATGTAAGAAGACGTATTTTATGCTCGAAAGTGCTGACATATCCAAACATGAAAGCAATAAAAGAAATCACAAAGGAAAATACCAACAGATTTAAGTACATAAAAATCAAACACTTCAGTCTGCCAAAAAGTAATACACAAAAATTAAGGGTAAAAAGCAAGTGGAAAACATACTTGTCATGAATGACAGAAAACCCCCTAAGGCCTTGACACGACAACGGGGAAAGGAAATTGACAGATCAGAGCCCAGGAAGCCAACAGACAAGGAAAAACGTGCAGCGGGGCCGATAATCAGACCGACGCAGGCGGAATGGCTCGAGGCCTGAGCGGGCCAGGCAGAACCGCGGTCTTCCGAAGGAAAGCACAGAGCATCTCTGCAGACTTGGAGTGGGAAAACGTATTGCTTCCTTTAGAGATACTCTCCTTAGTGTCAGTGCCCTGCCTCTATGCGTGTGCCCCCAGGGCCTAGTTTGCCCATTCGGTGCCAAGAATGCCGGAGGATACTGAGACAGCGCCCCCCAGAGGAGGAGAGGCTACAAAGGAGCTGACCAAAGACAGAGAGAGACGGGGAGAGAACCCCCAGACGCACTAGGCACAGGCAGCGGTGCTGAAGCCCGTAGCTCGGGGCCGGGAGCACCACCTTGCTGCTGGAGCAGGGAAAACGAAGCTGAGTGGCTGGAGGTGAATCTGGAGAGGCAGCTGGATGACACATGGTGCTCTGGACCGCGCTAAGAAGCCCAGAATCTTTTTTTTTTGTTGTTAATCCTCACCCGAGGATATTTTTCTATTTATCTTCAGATAGAGTGGGAGGAGAAGAGAGGGAGAGAGAGAAAAACATCAACGTGAGAGGGACATATCAACTGGTTGCCTCCTGCAGGACCCCAACTAGGGCCGGGGACGAACCACAACCCAGGTACATGCCCTTGACTGGAATCGAACCCATGACTCATTGGTCCGTGGCCGACGCTCTAACCGCTGAGCCAAACTAGCCAGGGCCCCAGAATCTGTTGAGCAAAGGGAACTTCTGCACGGGAAGCTAGGGCTAGCAATCAGGTTAGAGGATGGGCTAGCGACGCATCTGCAGGCTGTGTTTAAAGTACAAGCGCACCCTGGGGAGTCGGAGGTGACTCTGGGGGAGTTGAGGCTCACTCCCCATCTCTGCTGTGGTGTCTTCTCTGGGGAGCCCTTGAAGGTTTCAGGCAGTGAGGACATTCACTCGGTCAGGTATCACTACCAGTGCCTCCATGGAAGGTGGACAGAGGCGGCCATGTGGATGTCCTTGTGGGTGAGGGGCCACCACCGGTCAGGACGGGCTACAGGAAGGGGGAGGGCCAAGGGATGTGACGAGACGTTGACAAGGTGAAACCAAGGGGTTGTGTTGCTTCATAGGTGGGGGCGGGGAATGTCCAGGGATTCAAGAATGACTTCCATGTTTCTACCCTGGAAAAGAAGCCACTCTGGGGGCAAGGGCAATGCGCTGTTTTGAAGTCTGAGCTCGGTGAACCTCTGGGACATCTGGTCCCGAGTCTGAGGCGCAGGGGACAGATCCAGGCTGGAGCCGCTTGTGAGGGAGTGGCGGCCCGTAGGTGAGAGGTGAGTGGGACATCACTGGGGAAAGCACGGAGGACGAAAGCCCGGAAGGCCATGGAAGGCCAACATTTTGGGGGGCAGGACTGGAAATGCAATCTTCGCATGAGTCAGAGATAACGGTCCAAGAGGAAAAGGAATTTGGGATGAAGAGAGAGACCGGGTTCAAGCCTTGCATTTCGGCTCAAGCGCCAGGGCTCGGCTCCACAGGCGCTCTGAAGAGGCCCTCTGGTGAAGGCTGGCCCGGCCCGAGGGCAGGGTGAGGACACCAGCCTCTGCTACTGCAGCTCGCGGGGTGGCCCGTCGCAGCCATGGGCTCCCAGCAGGCGTCCTAACCGGCCTGCCGAGGAGCTGGCTGCCCAGAGCACCCGAGGTGCTGACGCGTGGACTACCGGACGGAGCTCTCCAGAGCCGGCCGCGGCACGGTGCCGAGTGCGGGCCCAGCACAGTTTCCCTCCAGCATCCTCGCTGCTCAGCAGGCCTTTCCGACCATAACCAGCCATCCAGTTCAGCTGCTTCTAAGGGCTCCGGGTCCTGATAAAAATGAAAACCCGATCCCTGGCCCAGTGGCTGACGGGAGACAGCACAGCCGAGCGGCAGGGGCCGCAGACGCACTCTGCAGCTGAGTCCGCGCGCCCGAGGTGGGCAAGCATCGCCCTCTTTCCGTTCTTTGTGCAGTGGTAACGACAGTGGAGAACAGTCTGGATTCTTCTACGTTAAAGGACCCGAAGGAGACAAGCTGGTGATCTGAGCAGCTCCCGCTGGGCTCAGAGGAACAGCCAGAAGCTCGGGAGGGGCCAAGGATGCTGCCACTTTCTCGGTGACGGACGCCTATGGGGCAGGGACCGAGGGTTCTCCCTGCATTTCTGGCTTGAGTGGCAGAGTTGCCACTGCCCCGATGACGGGCTGCATCACAAGGCGAGGACAGAGTCAAGGAGAAGAAACGTCGAAGGCACAGTTGGAAGAAGCTTAGTTAGAGGTGTCTCTGAGACGACCGGAGAGAAATGTCAGGGTTCAAGAGGACCCCAGAGGTCTGGGGACAGGTGTTACAGAGATCACCGACATGACACCACGTGGAAGCACAGGGTGCCTGAGCTTTCCCAGGAGGAGGTTCCCGGAGGCAGAGGGGAGTGGCCAGGTGAGCACTGAGCCCTTCCTGCGGCCACCGCGGACAAGCACGGGGGATGCAGTGGGGCTGCAGGAGGGACAAGGAAGGAGGCCGTCTGGGGAGGGCGTGTCGCTGCTGCTGAGGTCCAGGACGGCGAGGAGAGGAGGCCACCAAAGGCCGGCACCACCTGCGCCTGAGCGGCCAGGCAGAGACGCTCATGGTCACTGCTGTGGTCCATGCTCACATCGGCCCCAAGTATAGGCATGAGGAGCCCGTTTCAGGGGTCAGCACCAAACCCGGAGCCCTGCTCGAGGCCACCCACCCTGTGGGCCTCAGCCCCACTTCCAGGCTCTCTGGAGGCCCTCAACCACTGCTCCCACCTGCACTGGGCTCCCCTCGCCTCTGGTCTTCCCTAAGCTGAGCCGTGTCGTCCTCCACGGAGCCTCGTGCTGTGTCACACGCTGTGGGGTCTGAGCGGGAGTGCAGGTCAAGGACGGCAGGACACAGAGGGAAGTCTGCCGCGCATGCTCAGCTCCGCCCCTACTCACTGTTTTCCGACAGCTCCACCACGTAGCGCAGCACAGGGCTGTTCCCGTCGAAGGGGCGGACCCAGGACAGCAGCACCGCGTGGCTCTGGGAGGCGTTCAGCCTGGCCAGGAGGTTCTGCGGGGGGTGGGGCAGTTCTCTGGGACACAGAGGACAGAAAGAAAGGAAAAGTGTGTCAGAATCGATGGTGAGCCTCACGCCTACCTCCTGCAGTCCTGGTGTGCAATGCTCTGAAAATGGAGAAATAAAATACGCCCCAAACACAAATGCTAATGGCCTTCCCCACACAAAAGCCCGCTCCTTCACACCCTCCTGCAGTTCTGTTCTCCGTGGCCCTGGTTGGAACCAAACAGCTAGTAGTTACTCTGTCACTTAAATCGGCGGGGGCGCCAAGTTTCACACCGTATTTAATTGAGAAGAGCTGGTCAGCGATTTGTTTTACAACAGGAGGCTGTTGGTGAAAACGCAGTGAGCCAGATAAACGGGGACAGGCCGGGGAAACAATCTAGGACGAGTTTCCGACACGAGGTACTTGTCCAGCCAAAACGCACACGTGTGTCCTCCGACGGCGTGGCTGCCGCGTGACTGACAGTGTCAGGTCCTCCTGCTGTGTGTCTTCTGCTGGATGCTGGAGGTTCTGGGGAAGAAGTGTGGTGGGGACACTGACAAACCCGCGGACGAGTACACAGCACGTGAGCGAGGCTCGATGGCGGAAACGCAGTTGAAGCGAACAGATGCAGAAGATGCTAACAGGAGAGGTCTTTCCCGGGGTCGCTGGTCACAGCGCTTCTAATTCAAGGGCGCGGTTTCTCCCATGGACGGTCTGCCACCTTCGACCTCGAGCTGCCATGCCCCGTACTGAACCTTCACATCTCATGAGTCCGGGAGCAGGACCCTGCCTTGGGGCCATGAGGGACAGCTTCTCCCTCGGTGAACGCTCCCAGGTAGGCTGTGGAGAGCGGACGCCCCGTGTGACCTGCTTCACCCACTAATTAGATCTGGTCTCCCTCAGACATCAGTTACTGCTGACCTGCAGAGGTCAACACAAAAAGCCACAATTACACTTGATACTTCAATTTAAAAATGCACTCATTACCCTTTGAGATTTATTAGGCCGCCCTGAGCTCGCGGCTAGCTAAGAAACACAGCTGTCTCTAACCACGCACACCGTTCACAAACAAATATTTCTAATGCGGACTGCGACTTTAAATCACTGCAGTGAAGAATGAACTGGGGCCTGGAATGCTGGCTGCTTTTCTCTTGATTGCTAAATAAGTTTTAAATTCCCAAAGGAGCTGTTATTTCCACTTGAGCGCCCCGACAACTGCACCTCCCACCGACTTCCACGAGTGGAGACCCACCTGCTCTACCCCTCCCTACTTCCTGGAGTTGCTCTGCTCTGAAACCACACCAGTGTTGCTGAGACAGTCCCTCCTGGAAACAAACTGAGCAGGGACCTGGGTAAATGCACCCAAATGACTGTGGCATCGTGAAGAGGCTCTGGGGTGGAATTTCAAACCCTTGGAACTTCCTGAGTGACAGGCCACCCTGAGGTTATGCTAACGAGGCTGCTCAAGGTCAACTCTACATAGTTCCAGGAGGAGGGGGATCCAGGCTGGAGACACCAGCCAGTGATGTCTGCCCGACAAGACACCCTCTATAGTGTGTCTCCTGTTCCGTGTCACCTGCTGCTCAGTGCAAAGGACTCTCTAATAGACGTTGGAAACAAACTATTCCTTGAAGTGATAAGTTCTGGTGGTCTGGAAAATTAAGCTCCGTGAAATGCTTGACTAACCCACTGATAACCGATAAATGCAATGCGGCTTTAACGTGTTCTGAGTCCCTATCAGAGCATCTTGTCTAATGGAAATGGGTTGCGTCATGCATCCCGCTGCCAACGCAGAAAGGAGATGAACGGTCAGCGGACTGACAGCCGTGTGGACAGGGTGACTGATGGAAGGGAGCGGAGGGGGCAGTGTGAGGAGCCCAGGGCTGAGTCACTCTGGAACTTAGGGGGTCGCCATCAAGCCCATTACATCACCATGACACCCAGAGTCAGCAAAGCAGACGCTGTGTGGGAAGGAGGCCGAGCCACGTGTTTCTGAGAGAAACAGCTTTGGGAAAGGCTCAAAGCAACTGGCAAAACGGTGGCTGTGGGGGACTGATCGCGTGGAGGAGGCTCAGGGAAGTGTTTTGCTGTAGAAGCGCTGCCTCTTTAACACATGGATGACGACGTGGTCAAACCCGTCTTCAACTTCACTCCGAGGATGAAGCTGATGGGCCTGATAATTCTCAAGAAACGGTATGAAATGGTTCACCCCAGTACGGCCCTGTTGCCGGCATGTTATCGTAAGACTCTCTCCAGCTGGCTGAGTCCCAGTCTTCACGTGGGTCCCGAAAATCGGGTTCTCCCTGTACCCCAGTTCTCGGGAATTAGTGTCTGATTTCATTGGGTCTTTGAATGATTAACAGTCCGCAATCCTGAGAGCCTTCGGAGCTGGTCCCTTGCGTGTGGGCATGGACTCGCCCCAACGGTTCCCTTCCTTACGGCACCAGCCAGCTCACAGGAGACACACCTCCTGTGGGTCCCCTTGACCTGGGCATTGTCCATTCACAGGACGCATCGCAGGACCGTCTGGGGTGGCAGAAGCCTCTCCTCTCGGGGAGGATGGAGGCAGACCCTCCTACATGCGTCCTCCTCTGTGGGCCCAAATCCGCAGACCTTCTCCAGCCGATTCCGTGAACGGGCACTGACCCCGCACCTGCCCTGCTGTCGGCACTGAGGTGTGTTCCAGGGCCATGAGTATGGTAGAAACCCCGCAGGATGGCAGACTTCCTGGCCCCGTGGAGGAGGGTGCTGCCCAGGAGAGCAGGGGGCAGTCTCAGGCGGCAGTGAGGGATGACGGGGCTGGACTGACTGCATGTCCACCCTAAGCCAGGCCCTGGCCGGCACTGCACAAACAATGCTCCACTCAACGCTCACCAGGCCCTGAGGTGTGCAGTGTGCCCAGCTGACAGCTGAGAAGGGAGGGAACTTGCCCAGAGCTAGGCTGTCAGTGGGGGTGGGGCGGCCCCAGTCCAGCTGGGCCGTGGATAGCGCCCACTGCGCTGGGTGTGAGGGACCCGATCGGGCGCACAGGGAAGACAGCGTGCAAGGCTATGCGTGCGAGCATGCGTGAGAGCCAGCCCTCCGATGGGCCTTTGGAAGCCTATTCGGAAGGCTCCTAATTTCCATATTCAACAGAGTAGCTTCTAGCCCCAGGAAGGCAGGGGAGGCAGACTTTCGTTCAGGCTCTCTGAAGGACACTACTTGGCGGTAAGCACCTCTCAGTCACTCCGCAATATGAGCTTGTTTTCTTCTTTCACTTTTGTTGTTATCAGAGTAAATCACGGAAATGCGTCTGCGCTGCACTGGAAAGTCCTCTGTGAGGCACAGAACACCCTGCAATCACGAGTCGTGATGATTGTCATCATTGTTGTCATCTCTGGTGTCTCAGAGTTAAGACCTATGTGGGCCTGAAGAGTCTCCACGCTGTAACCTGCGACCCTCCAGACCCATCCTGACGCGCCCGGACGCGTGCTCATCACATGAGCAGCAGCTCGCGAGGGGCGATGGGCTCCCAGGTTAGCTGTGACCGGCAGCCCCAAAATTGGTTTGAATCACACATCTGCAAATATTTCTATACTTAGGGGTGAGGTGTTTCCCACTCCAGGAAGCCTATTATTTTAGAGACCCGGCAACATTTGCTGAGAGATGTGTTCTACGAGAAGGACTCAGATAAGCAGGCAGCAGGGAAGGCATGGGGATCAGAACGCAAGGCTGAGCGGGTGGGGAGGGCAGGCTGCATCTGACGGAGGCAGTGTGACTTCTGCCGAGACGCCCTGGGACATGCTGGTGTCCATTCACTTGGTGCCAGTGACGGGCGACATAAGAGTCCTCAAAGGGAGTTTTACAATGGGAGCCGTAGATTACGTGCATTTCAGTCCTGGACTCCAGTATTATCAAAATCAATAAAAATGTTGCCGACAGGAGCTGTGAATGGGAGGGGGGACACTGGACTGGAGCTGAACGGGGTGGCAGGTGCCCAGGCTCGTCCCGGTGCTCCGAGCCTGGGTGTTAGTTCTGGCGGGGGGAGGCCCAGGACGGGAGCGTCGAAGGGACAAAGGGCGTGAGCGAAACTGGGAGGCAGGTCACCAACGGCCCATAACACACACAATCATTCATTCGTGCGTTCCACCACCCAAGATGCGTTTACTGAGCGCCTACAGCGCACCAAACGCCGGCAGGCACTGAAAATGCAGAGCTGTGCCGCCGGGCGCTTCTACTTCAGCAGGGAAGGGAGCGTGAAAATCTGCTTCCCGCCCCTGTGAGCACCAGGAAGCACCCGAGACACCTGGCATCCCAGTGGGGGTCCGTCAGGTGGAGGTGGCAGACTGCTGAGGTGCCCTGTGTGTGGGCTAGGGGAGCCCAGGAGGACAGAAGGAGCCCAGGGCCGGTGGGTCCCGTGGCGAAGGGGGTGGGGGCCCCGGCACTTCCACGCTCCCTACAGAGCTGGCGGGCCATCTGCACAGCATCCTGTGGCCTCAGCGCCCAGCCGCTCTGCTGACCCTGTAGGGCTGTCGACTCCTGGGATTGGATACTGACCAGGGCGACCTTTCCTTTCGAAAGGTAACTTCTACAGAACACAGGGCGGGTCATCCTGGAGGGAGACCACCCAGGAGGCAGGTGGGGCTGTTCAGGTCCTGGAGGCACAGCCAGGCTGGCTCCACAGCCTGGTCCTGGCCCCTGCAGAACCTCGGGTCTGCGCCCGCTGCCGCGTGTCTGTGCCACCAACGCGGGACTGCGCCTCAGCCCTCAGCAAGCTTCTCCTTCACCTTTAACGCCCTCGGCAGAGGTCAGGAGGAAAAACCTTGCAAACTGGCCTCTACGGCCCAGCACGTCTGCATGAGCCGGGGTCGCGGGCTGGTGCCTGGAGCTGGCTGCTGCCCGACGCCCGCCCTGCTCTGCGTCTTCACTTGCAGGTTTTATGCTCGTAGGTATGTGCTCGAGGAGTATCTGGGATGACAGCATTTTCAAAAAGCAACTAAATGAAATTTGTCAGCAGGCTTTCAGCTTCCTGCTCGTGAACGAAGGGAGTCACGCAAAGAGAAGCGAAGACAGAGACGGATGGCCCCGGCCCCGGCCCCGGGGGCCCGGGAAGGCCCAGGCAGAAGCAGCGGCCGCTGATGGCTGCTCTCGGGATTCCTAAACTCTTACTGGAGGTCTGTCTGCCTGGAGAGGCAGCCAGCGCCAACTCTGACGTGCAGCCTGGCGGGCCTTCAGGGGGGGCTCGCCTCGGGGGAACCCTGCCGTGTCTCACCTGCTGGCAGTTCTGAGGGGCATCCAGTGGACAAGCGGGCCTGCTGTCACTCACGGGTGCATGGCAAACAGAGCCTCTCCGGTGGGGAGTCACGGGGGAGTGATGAGATCCGGGGAGCCAGTCACCAAACCCTCCACACCAAGGTAGAGCCTCAGTGTACGTGCCTGCGAGGCCCACGGCCGTGACCTCTGGGGCTGGCTTGAGAGCAGAGAGAGGGTGAGCGGCCTCCGGGTTCTGGGGTCCGGAGCCGAGTCGGAGGGGACGCGGTACTCACATCACTTCCAGCCGGGCCGTCCTGGAGTCGTTCCCGCCTTCGGAGATGATATCGCAGGTGTAGTCTCCGATGTCGCCCGACCACGTCTGGCTGATGAGCAGGGACCCGTCCTTCTCCACCACGACTCTGGAACTGCTGGACGGGCTGATGACCACGTTGTCCTTCTTCCAGACGTAGCTGGGGCCAAGCAAAGGGTCTTGAGTCAGAAAGGGGCTTGAGGGTTTTGACGCTGACCCTTCCCTGTCTGCTAAAAAGCGAGCGGTTGATGGCTTTTGGATGAACTAGGCACCGCTTTGTCCTGCTCTTTAAGAGTGGATTTTATCAGGCGTGAGTTATACAATAAAAAAGAAAGAAAGCAACCAGATACCTTGGCCATAACATGACAATAGATGCTCAAGTTAGAACAGGACCAAAGGGGTCACTGGAATGTGCATGGGTCTGGGGTTAGACATGGGAAGTCTGGAGTCTGGGTCATAGCTGTCACCTACTAACACTGTCCCTCACGTTCCGGCCCAGGAATGTTCTGGAGGACAAGAGTGTCACCTGGACAGGAGGTCTCTACTGTTTTAAAAAAAATTCCCAGAGTGGCATCCCCCAATTTCTGAGCAAAGCATAGATCACACCCCAACCATCCTGCACAGAGCCCTCAAAGCCTCATGCCTTCTTCGCTCAACCTCGCTGATGCAGCTGCAGCGCCCCTTTCCAACCTCGCTGATGCAGCTGCAGCGCCTCTCTCTTCAACTCGTTTATGCAGCTGCAGCGCCTCTCTCTTCAACTCGCTTATGTGGCTGCAGCACCTCTCTCTTCAACCTCGCTGATGCAGCTGCAGCGCCTCTCTCTTCAACTCGCTTATGTAGCTGCAGCGCCTCTATCTTCAACCTGCTTCTGTGGCTGCAGCGCCTCTCTTCAACCTCGCTGATGCAGCTGCAGCCCCTCTCTCTTCAACCTCGCTGATGCAGCTGCAGCGCCTCTCTTCAACCTCGCTGATGCAGCTGCAGCCCCTCTCTCTTCAACCTCGCTGATGCAGCTGCAGCCCCTCTCTCTTCAACCTCGCTGATGCAGCTGCAGCGCCTCTCTTCAACCTCGCTGATGCAGCTGCAGCCCCTCTCTCTTCAACCTCGCTGATGCAGCTGCAGCCCCTCTCTCTTCAACCTCGCTGATGCAGCTGCAGCGCCTCTCTTCAACCTCGCTGATGCAGCTGCAGCCCCTCTCTCTTCAACCTCGCTGATGCAGCTGCAGCCCCTCTCTCTTCAACCTCGCTGATGCAGCTGCAGCCCCTCTCTCTTCAACCTCGCTGATGCAGCTGCAGCGCCTCTCTTCAACCTCGCTGATGCAGCTGCAGCCCCTCTCTCTTCAACCTCGCTGATGCAGCTGCAGCCCCTCTCTCTTCAACCTCGCTGATGCAGCTGCAGCGCCTCTCTCTTCAACCTCGCTGATGCAGCTGCAGCCCCTCTCTCTTCAACCTCGCTGATGCAGCTGCAGCCCCTCTCTCTTCAACCTCGCTGATGCAGCTGCAGCCCCTCTCTCTCCAACCTCGCTGATGCAGCTGCAGCGCCTCTTTCCAACCTCGCTGATGCAGCTGCAGCGCCTATCTCTTCAACCTCGCTGATGCAGCTGCAGCGCCTCTCTTCAACCTCGCTGATGCAGCTGCAGCCCCTCTCTCTTCAACCTCGCTGATGCAGCTGCAGCGCCTCTTTCCAACCTCGCTGATGCAGCTGCAGCGCCTCTCTCTTCAACCTCGCTGATGCAGCTGCAGCGCCTCTCTTCAACCTCGCTGATGCAGCTGCAGCCCCTCTCTCTTCAACCTCGCTGATGCAGCTGCAGCGCCTCTCTCTTCAACCTCGCTGATGCAGCTGCAGCGCCTCTCTCTTCAACCTCGCTGATGCAGCTGCAGCCCCTCTCTCTTCAACCTCGCGGATGCAGCTGCAGCCCCTCTCTCTTCAACCTCGCTGATGCAGCTGCAGCCCCTCTCTCTTCAACCTCGCTGATGCAGCTGCAGCGCCTCTTTCCAACCTCGCTGATGCAGCTGCAGCGCCTCTCTCTCCAACCTCGCTGATGCAGCTGCAGCGCCTCTTTCCAACCTCGCTGATGCAGCTGCAGCGCCTCTCTCTTCAACCTCGCTGATGCAGCTGCAGCCCCTCTCTCTCCAACCTCGCTGATGCAGCTGCAGCGCCTCTTTCCAACCTCGCTGATGCAGCTGCAGCGCCTCTCTCTCCAACCTCGCTGATGCAGCTGCAGCGCCTCTTTCCAACCTCGCTGATGCAGCTGCAGCGCCTCTCTCTTCAACCTCGCTGATGCAGCTGCAGCGCCTCTTTCCAACCTCGCTGATGCAGCTACAGCCCCTCTCTCTTCAACCTCGCTGATGCAGCTGCAGCGCCTCTTTCCAACCTCGCTGATGCAGCTGCAGCGCCTCTTTCCAACCTCGCTGATGCAGCTACAGCCCCTCTCTCTCCAACCTCGCTGATGCAGCTGCAGCGCCTCTTTCCAACCTCGCTGATGCAGCTGCAGCGCCTCTCTCTTCAACCTCGCTGATGCAGCTGCAGCGCCTCTCTTCAACCTCGCTGATGCAGCTGCAGCCCCTCTCTCTTCAACCTCGCTGATGCAGCTGCAGCCCCTCTCTCTTCAACCTCGCTGATGCAGCTGCAGCCCCTCTCTCTTCAACCTCGCTGATGCAGCTGCAGCGCCTCTTTCCAACCCCGCTGATGCAGCTGCAGCCCCTCTCTCTTCAACCTCGCTGATGCAGCTGCAGCCCCTCTCTCTTCAACCTCGCTGATGCAGCTGCAGCCCCTCTCTCTTCAACCTCGCTGATGCAGCTGCAGCCCCTCTCTCTCCAACCTCGCTGATGCAGCTGCAGCGCCTCTTTCCAACCTCGCTGATGCAGCTGCAGCCCCTCTCTCTCCAACCTCACTGATGCAGCTGCAGCGCCTCTTTCCAACCTCGCTGATGCAGCTGCAGCACCTCTCTTCAACCTCGCTGATGCAGCTGCAGCCCCTCTCTCTTCAACCTCGCTGATGCAGCTGCAGCCCCTCTCTCTTCAACCTCGCTGATGCAGCTGCAGCGCCTCTCTCTTCAACCTCGCTGATGCAGCTGCAGCCCCTCTCTCTTCAACCTCGCTGATGCAGCTGCAGCCCCTCTCTCTTCAACCTCGCTGATGCAGCTGCAGCCCCTCTCTCTTCAACCTCGCTGATGCAGCTGCAGCGCCTCTTTCCAACCTCGCTGATGCAGCTGCAGCGCCTCTCTCTCCAACCTCGCTGATGCAGCTGCAGCGCCTCTTTCCAACCTCGCTGATGCAGCTGCAGCGCCTCTCTCTTCAACCTCGCTGATGCAGCTGCAGCGCCTCTTTCCAACCTCGCTGATGCAGCTGCAGCCCCTCTCTCTCCAACCTCGCTGATGCAGCTGCAGCGCCTCTTTCCAACCTCGCTGATGCAGCTGCAGCCCCTCTCTCTTCAACCTCGCTGATGCAGCTGCAGCCCCTCTCTCTTCAACCTCGCTGATGCAGCTGCAGCCCCTCTCTCTTCAACCTCGCTGATGCAGCTGCAGCCCCTCTCTCTTCAACCTCGCTGATGCAGCTGCAGCGCCTCTTTCCAACCCCGCTGATGCAGCTGCAGCGCCTCTCTCTCCAACCTCGCTGATGCAGCTGCAGCGCCTCTTTCCAACCTCGCTGATGCAGCTGCAGCGCCTCTCTTCAACCTCGCTGATGCAGCTGCAGCCCCTCTCTTCAACCTCGCTGATGCAGCTGCAGCCCCTCTCTCTTCAACCTCGCTGATGCAGCTGCAGCGCCTCTTTCCAACCTCGCTGATGCAGCTGCAGCGCCTCTCTCTCCAACCTCGCTGATGCAGCTGCAGCGCCTCTTTCCAACCTCGCTGATGCAGCTGCAGCGCCTCTGTCTCCAACCTCGCTGATGCAGCTGCAGCGCCTCTTTCCAACCTCGCTGATGCAGCTGCAGCCCCTCTCTCTTCAACCTCGCTGATGCAGCTGCAGCGCCTCTTTCCAACCTCGCTGATGCAGCTGCAGCGCCTCTCTCTTCAACCTCGCTGATGCAGCTGCAGCGCCTCTTTCCAACCTCGCTGATGCAGCTGCAGCCCCTCTCTCTCCAACCTCGCTGATGCAGCTGCAGCGCCTCTTTCCAACCTCGCTGATGCAGCTGCAGCGCCTCTCTCTTCAACCTCGCTGATGCAGCTGCAGCGCCTCTTTCCAACCTCGCTGATGCAGCTGCAGCGCCTCTTTCCAACCTCGCTGATGCAGCTGCAGCGCCTCTCTCTTCAACCTCGCTGATGCAGCTGCAGCGCCTCTTTCCAACCTCGCTGATGCAGCTGCAGCCCCTCTCTCTCCAACCTCGCTGATGCAGCTGCAGCCCCTCTCTCTCCAACCTCGCTGATGCAGCTGCAGCGCCTCTCTTCAACCTCGCTGATGCAGCTGCAGCACCTCTTTCCAACCTCGCTGATGCAGCTGCAGCCCCTCTCTCTCCAACCTCGCTGATGCAGCTGCAGCGCCTCTTTCCAACCTCGCTGATGCAGCTGCAGCGCCTCTTTCCAACCTCGCTGATGCAGCTGCAGCGCCTCTCTCTCCAACCTCGCTGATGCAGCTGCAGCGCCTCTTTCCAACCTCGCTTATGCGGCTGCAGCGCCTCTCTCTTCACGTACAGAATCGACTGCGAGCCTGTCCAGCGCCCACAATGCCAGTGGGTGGGGCCCGCGCACAGCCCCATGGGATGTGGGTGCTGGCTGTCCACTGGGAGCGACGTGCTGGGATGTTCAGGACATGCCCCGTTCTCAAAGGCTCACTCTGCAGGGACAGGCATTTACCAAGTGCTTGTCTGAAATCACCCCGAGACAGGACGGGGGGTTCCACACAAGGAAAGGAAGAAACGGCTCACTTCGGGGCTGGTGTTCCGTGGGCAGAGACACCCCGGTTCAAGGGAGGCCTGAGCGTGAGCATCCAGTCCCTCCCGCCTCAGGAAGGAGGCTCCAATTCCGTCTGTTGAATCACACGACACGTTAGGTGGAACCAGCGACCCGGGGGATTCGGGTGAGCCTGTGTGTCTGCCGTTGCCCTCGGGAGTGGTGCTCCCGGCTCGCTGAGGAATGGCGCCTGCGTCTCCAGGCACGGCGGCCATCCCTAAACGGCCTCCCAGAATCCCGGGCTCTCTCCTGGTTTGTTTTGCAGCAACGTTCTTGTAACTAAACCAAACATGGTTTTGAGCTCTGGGGAGCCCCAGAGGGCCAGGTGGAGATATGGAAGTTCACGATCATCCAAACACCTGCCCGAGGAGCCTGAGAAAACAGTGAAGTCTCCGAATCTCATTACCAGCGCTGGCGCCAGCCGTCACCCCCCTCTCGCAGTGATGGCTCTGGGGACAGGGCACCTCGAGTCCGCCTGTTCAGCTGACCGCATGCTTTCTGGGCTCAGGCCAAACAGCAAGTGCCAGGACGGCTGGACTCTCTTTCTAGATTTACGTGCTGGTCTGACTCTGAAAATGAACCCGTTCTGAAGTGGTGAGTCTGGGAAGAAGCTCACCGCCGACCGCTGCGCGTGCTTGTGCCACGTGTTTACCGGGGTCACATTGTGACCGTTAGGTTCAGAGACCCCCCCCAAGTCATCCAGGCCCCTTCTTCTTATGCATTTCCCTCTGACAGCCTTGGCCTCTGGGGGTGCCCTTCCTCCATGCTCAGGTCTCCCTCAAGGGCTCCCGGGCCATGAAGGAGCCGTCCCTGGAGCAGAGAACCCCCTGCAGGACGCCCAGCCGAGCGGCAACACGCTGAAACCCCTCTGACCCCTGTGGACCTTTCTTTCCTTAAGTACCAGCCTCTGGCGTACACTTACAGACAGTGCAGTCACCTTGGCAGGAAAACTCCCCCCAGCCAGCTGTGAGGGCCGGAGAGAGCGCAGCCCCTGTAAATAATGCATGAGGCTGGGGTGGAAAACGGGAGTCGTGTGATTAATGACGGGGCCCAGGACCACACACGCCGTAATCAGGGATCTGCGGCTGAAATCAAAGTTCCCGAAATTCTCCCCTCTGGTCTCCACGTCCCTTCACGAGCCCACAGAATATTAACGAGCCCCAGACACAGCGACTGAGGGAGCTGACCGGAGGGAGATGCGGGGGTCGTGTGTGGCTCTGCAGTGCAGCGTGGCGGTGGTCCCCTTGATCACCACGCGGTCCTCGGGAGGGTTGACAATGGACGTTCGATCTGGAAAAACATAAGTCACAGCTCAGACGCAGTCACGTGCTCGAGAGTGCCTCCCTCAGGGGAATGCTGGGCACCTGACACCAGAGCCCCCAGGTTCCCTCTCATCCAGGCGAAACGAGGAGTCGCAGCTCTCAGTCCTCCGGGAACTGCCACCAGCTTCCCACACGCAGCCCGGGGTCAGGCCGCCCGCCCCCCGGGCCACCCCGAAGCTCTAGCCGCTCGGGAGCACGTGACAATGGCAGGTCGTCTGCACGTGTGTCTCAGTTCTGCACTCGGGGGAGAATCCTGGTTCTCCCCCAAGACGATCGGCAGTCGGGGCACCTCTGCCGTGTGCGCAGCACCTCGGGGTCTGCACAGCGCTTCCACGGGTGATGCCGTTTTTATTTAGTCCTCACAGGTCTGCTGAGGGCTGTGATATTCAGGAATGAAAGTGATGCCAGAAATACAGGGGTGCCGGGTGCCAGCGAGCCGGAAGGAGTGGGCCTGGTGCAGAGGGCAGGCCCGCGGCTTGCCCAGGATGGCAGCTGCCACAGCGGGGCCCTGAGACAGCCCCGCGGCGCACCCCCACACGCGCATCCCTGAGGTGGACGCCGCTGCGGCATGAACACAGCCCGAGCTTGGGGTGACCAGGCTAGGTTTCGGGCCAGCCTGACCGCCTGCTAGTGGTGTCTGGAAAGCATCCCTGAGCGTGTGCTTTGTGGGTGCAAGGGGTGCTGCCGAGCTGTGCGGATACGTGGGGCCGAGCGGGTCGACGCCCGTAGGCCCGTGGCCCCCAGCATCCCTCTATTGTTAGGCCCCTGGATCTTAGCAGGGCCACACGACTGCCTGGTGAGTGACCCATGGAGGTGCAGACCTCAGTTTGTCACCAGCTTTTACATCTATGGTTAATTTAAGGGACAATAATGAATCAGAGTGGCCAGTGGAGTCGCCACTGAAAGGAACAAAGCCCCCTTTTCAGCACCTGACAACACTGGGGGAACTGGAACGCATGTCTTTTAAAATCACGTGCTCTCAGAACGCCCAGCGCGTCAGAAAGGCCGTGGATGGAGGGACGTCGGCGCTGTCGGGGAAGCTAACTGGGTGTGGAATGAAGCCAGGAGAGCTTTCCCGCAGGGGGTGGGGACCGACCGCTCGCGAGTGAACAGCTTCTCCCCCCACGTGGACTGGGGGAAGGGTAGCAAGCACAGGCGAATGTCAGTCTTCTGCTGTTTGTTTTGTTTTTTTATCCTCACCGGAGGACATTTTTTGCATGTATCTTCAGATAGAGCGGGAGGGAAAGAGGGGGGAAGAGAGAGAGAGAGACATCGATGTGAGAGAGACACATCCACTGGCTGCCACCCACACGACCCCGGCTGGGGCCGGGGACAAACGCAGCCGAGGTACATGCCCTTAGCAGTGGTTCTCAACCTTCCTAATGCCGCGACCCTTTAATACAGTTCCCCATGTTGTCTGTGGGCGCATCGGCATGTGGGCGGACCCGCCTGGAGACAGATGGAGCGGTGTCTCGGCTCCTAAGACCATCAGAAATATGTGTTTTCTGATGGTCTTAGGCGACACCTGTGAAAAGGTCGTTCGACCCCCAAAGGGGTCGTGACCCACAGGTTGAGAACTGCTGCCTTAGAGGGAACTGAACACGGGACTCTCTCCACAGGCCGACACTCTAACCGCTGAGCCAGGCCAGGGCGTCTTCTGCTCTTTGAACAGCAAGTCTTTAGCGCCACATGGGCAGAGGAGGAAGCTCCGGGGGATGAGGGCGGGGGTTGGGTGAGTGGGGTGGGGGTGTGGGGTGGGCAGTCTCATGCCCGAGGGCCCTCACTGCTCTCCAGGGCCCCTATGAGAGGAAGGGAAGGAGAAACAAAGCTGGAGAAACAAGCCCGCCCCTCAGTGCACCCCTCCTGTCTGGGGAGCATTCCTACTTCGCAGGCTAGCAGTGTCTGGCCCGTTACAGGGCTAACTCAGAAAACATTCTTTCTCTAGGACGTTAACTCTTGACTCGGTTTTCTTACACAATGGTTACAGAATTAACCGGCCTCGCCGTGGTTACGTGAGCCACTTGGGGACAATATCCCCAACTCCACTGGCTTGAAAAAGTCCATCTTTATCCCTCCCGAAATACCCCCTTTAAATTGGGGCTACACTTTCCAATTATTCTTTGGGAACTAAAAAATTAATGACTTAACAGATTTCTATAAATTGGCTGTAAAAATGATCCTTCCGCTCTGACTGAATCAGAGAATCCACGGGCTTCACGACCTCCCTCGGCACAGAGGACACGGTGGTAAAACCCGGATCAAGGGCCGGGCCCATGTGGCCCGTGGTCCTTACTCCACACGGTGAGCGTGGCCGACGCGTTCAGGGACCCCTCCGTGTTGGCTGCGTAGCAGGTGTAGGTGCCAGCATCTTGGATGAAGACAGGGGTGATCTGCAGGCCCCCGGATTCGAGCAGCATGAACCTAGGGATCCGCACGGAGCCGCTGGCCAGAATGTGGTTCCCTGAAGAACAGTAGGGAGAACAGCAGTTAGACCCACAGCGCTCGGGGGGCCATGCTTCGCGCCACAAACAAGAACATAACTCAAGGAAACACCAGAACGAAGTGGGACCCGGAGCAGGCCCCTTCGGCGCTGTCTACAGTGACGAGCAGAACATCCTCACTGTCCACGCAACGACTCAGGGGCACGTTCCGGTTCTCGCTCCACGAGCGTGCATTTGAAACGTTCTGGACAAGCTCCGATTCTGTTCGCAGTCAGCCGAGGAAAAACACAGACCGACTCGAGGAGCCTGCCCTTCCCAGGAACCCGTGGTTTCCCAGACCTTCCTGAGTGCCCGCTGTGGCCTGAGCACATGGTTATGCCTTCTCAGCCCACCTGTGCTTCTCAGGTGGCAGGAACGGGACCTGTTCTGAAGCCCGCCCCGACACAGTCCGCCAGCGTGACCAGTCAGTGTGAGGACGCAGCGCAGCCCGGATGTGTGCGGGGCGCTGGTCCAGTGCCTGCGCGGCGAGGAGGGGCTGTGGGACAGAGAGCTGGCCGGCGCCCGCGCCCCAGGAACTGAGGTAGGAGGGATCAGAGCGCACGTGTCCAGCGGAGAGCGCACGTGATCCTGTGCTAGAAGCATGTTTCTTAAAAGAGAAAAAGGAGCCCTGGCCAGTTTGGCTCAGCGGTTGGAGCGTTGGCCTGCAGACCAGAGAGTTTCGGGTTCAGTTCCCGCTAGGGGCACATACCAAAAATATAAAAAAAAGAAAGAAAAAGGCTGTGGGCCTTAGTTTTTAATATTCCCAAGGAAGACTCCTCAGTTCTTTCCCGGCTGCTCCGAGTCCAACCCGAGGGCAATGGAGGCCCCGGGCCCATGGCACCTGGCGAAGGGCTCAGAGGACGGTGATGATCACACCACCTAAGAGCGTCTGTGCGTAAAGATGAGTGGAAAGCTCCGTGAAGGGAGAGTCTTGCCCGTCTCACCCAGCCCCGCACCTCTGGCGTCGGGAGCCAGTTAATCTTCGCCAGATGAAAGTGTGAGGGCGGGCACAGAACACACCCTCGGCCGGCGGGTTCGCTCTGCGCTGGCCCGGCCGCTGAGACCGGGGAGGTACCTACCTCTCCTCCAGGTGATGGCGGGTTTCGGAGCCCCGGACACCTCGCACCTCAGCGTGGCTGTCATCCCGTCGGTGACCGTGGTGTCCGCCGGAAGCTGAGTGAAGGCTGGTGCGACATCTAAGCAGAGGAGTTGAACAGTGACATGGTCAGTGCGCTGTCCCTCAGAGACGCAGCGACCAGCCAGTGGATTGTCCATGTGGACCTTTGTAGGACTAATCACGGAGACCACTGCAGTGACGGAACAGGAAACCCTTCCGGGAGCGCCTGGAGCCTTCCATGAAGCCCCTGCCTGCCTGCGGCTGCAGAGACACACGGCCTCCTGACGTAACGGCCACGCCTGGGGCAGGGCAGGGGCCCAGGTGGAGCTGCTTTGGCAAATGTTAAAGGGAGAAGGTGCACCTATTTGGAGAAATCCAACAAGTTACTTTCATTATTAAAACAACTCTAAAAAGCTGATTTTGAATATTAGATATTATCCAAATATGACACTTTCCAGGATCTGTTCTGAGAGTTAAAAGGACCAGCTTCCAAGGCTTCAGGGAAGCATCTCTGGAAGTGAGTGGGCCCTGCTGTAGGGGTCGCTCGCTCAGGGGCCGGCAGGGCCTCCAGCCTCCGGGCCGCATGAGACCATGACAATAGGCGCGCAGGCTGGCGTCCGCGTGGCTCCCTGACTGTGCTCCTGCGCCAGGGAGACGGGGACCGAGCAGCTCCCAAGTGTGTGTGCAGCCCCGGGAGGGGGAGGGCAGGATCAGGGCGGCCAAGGCACAGCTGCTGCCTGCCCTTCTGTGGTGGGAGCGCCCACAAGCCCTGCAGTAGGTGCTGCTGCTTCTGCGCCAAGCACGGCCTCAGGCCTTCTGCTCCTCCCCTCACGGACCACTCTTCCCTCAGCTTTGGGTGCCCCGGAAAGCACTGAGACACCCCGCTACATCCCCACTCACAGCCCCTGAGGCCCCGCCAACCCCTCCACACGTCCTACCTACACCCCTGCTCACAGGCAGGCCCGACCGCTCTGCCGCTTCCTCCCGCACACGCATCTGCCTGGCACGCCCGCCACACGCTTCGGCACCCCTCCCCCACCGACGACATGCAGGTCCCCCAACCTCCACACAGGCCCCTCTTTACCTCCGGATGGCGGCCTCAGCACCGACTCGGAGAAACCACCCTGGCCCCTGAGCCTGTTCTGGCCCCTCCACAGTTCTCGCTGCTCTGAATTATCTCGTCCTTGACTGTCCACCGCCCATGGCCCTCTGTCCTGGAAGCAGGAGGACCTGCCCCTCCTCCCAGGGCCTGTCCCCGCGCCTGAGCGACCCAGGGGACTGGCACACCTGCTCCATGTGTTTGTTCCACGAACAAATAGATATCGATTGTTCCACACTGTGTTTTCGTTCCTTTAAAGGTGCTTTAATTTGAAAAAAGAACTCCATTTTGCTACACCCTGCACTTACAAATCATAATCATTTATTTATCTGTTCACTCTCCGGTTGTCATGGTAACCACCTTAAGTAGCACTTTCATTTGAATTTCCAGTCGGATCCTCACAAAAACCTTGTGAACCAGGCTGGGTTGGTTCCATTTTGACAATAACACTGAGGCTGAGACATTCAATAAAGTGTTTCCCAAGTCCCTCACTGGAGAAGTCGGCCTCCACAAGCCCTGGGCTTGTCTGCACGGCTTCTGTCAATAAAGGTTTATTGGAACACAGCCACGCCCACTCACTTTGTATTGTCTGTGCTGCTTCTGTCAATAAAGCTTTATTGGAACACAGCCACGTCCACTCACTTTGCATTGTCTGTGCTGCTTCTGTTAATAAAGCTTTATTGGAACACAGCCACATCCACTCACTTTGCATTGTCTGTGCTGCTTCTGTTAATAAAGCTTTATTGGAACACAGCCACGACTATTCTGTGCTGTCTGAGCTGCTGTCTCCATGCTGCAGCAGAGCTGAGTCCCTAAAGCTGAAAATATTTAGCACCTGTCTTTTACTGAAACAGTCTACCATTCCCTGCCCGGCAATATCCTGCCACCCCCCCCCCCCCAGCAAGGTATATTGTAGATAATTCTAATGGCTCAAAACTCGGTTTCCAGTTAAGTATCCAATATTATTTCTATTGTTTGAAGCGATACTGATTTCCTACGCTCCAAACTGGACGATAAACTTGACCCCTGGGCGGGGCTCAGGAAGTGACCCCCCATTTCCTAAAATGTGCATGGACCTTTCAATATCCCGTCTGTCTCTCTGTGAGCTCTGGCTGACCAGCGCCACCGGCAGCCCAGGCGGGGGCTCTCTCAAGACTCACACCTGAGGAGACGAGCATTTTTCTTCCACAAGGGCAACACGAGCGGCCTAATTCCATAATCACAAAATTCTACTTGGTTTTAAAAGGTGGAAGATTTATACGCTTGGAAGAGAAACCCGAGTATGACAAAATTCTCCTTAATTAAAATTTTTTTTTTATCCCCACTCGAAGACATTTTTCCATTTTTTGTTCAGGTAGAGTGGGAGGGAGAGAGAGGAAGAGAGAGAGAGAGAGAGAAACATCGACATGAAAGGGACACATCGAGTGGCTGCCTCCCGCACGACCAACCAGGGCCGGGGACAAACTGCAACTGAGGTACATGCCCTTAGCGGGAACCGAACCCGGGTCTTTCCAGACCGCAGGCCGACGCTCTAACCGCTGAGCCAAACCGGCCAGGGCTCCTTCACTTTAGAAGGACAATATTACAGCTGTGGGAGATTAAGACGAGAACTAGATCAAATGAAAACCTTTACCATGACTTTATTTTCCAAAGCGCCCACATATTTCTGTTAATGGGGCAATAAAAGAAACTCACAAAAGAACTATAATCATTAGATAAAACTACAATAGAGAATATTTAAAACATGGAAACATCATCAGAAGGAAAATATTAGAAATGAGCTGTTTGCTTAATGTCCAGAAAGACGAGGTTTCCCTACTTCTTGGTCCGGAGGAGGCTGGGGTGCTGGGACCTCGACACCTGCCGAGAGCAGGGAGGTCCGCGCTGGGACAACTGTGCTCTCGCCGTGGGTGTCAGCAGAGGTAAGGAGTGGGTCAGGTGTGCTGCGGTCACCGTGGGACACCGCGCCCTGTCCCCTAGCTAAGAGGGCTGGACAGATGTGACCCGAGTGTGTGGTGCCAGGGGCAAAGGTCGGGAAGCTCTGCCTCTCCGCGCCGGTACTCACTGGTGACGTCCAGGTAGGTGCAGGTCTGCACCTCGCCGCCTTCGTTGCTGGCGAAGCACTGGAAGACCCCGGAGTCCTCCGGACGCAGCTCCTGGATGCGCAGGCCCCCCGCCGGCAGCAGTCGGTACCGGGGGTTCTGGAGCTGGCTGACGGGCACGGCGTCCTTGAACCACTGCAGCTGGGGAAGAGGGGCCCCTGCGTGGGAGGGGGGATGACTGGGTGTTACACATTAGGTTTCAGGACTCTCTTACACGAGGAGTGGACGGCAACATTTTAATTGGCGTTTCAAGTGCTCTTCTCTCCTCTGATATGAAGCAGTGGACCAGAGCGGCATCAGGGGGACGACTGGAGCGAATGCCCAGCGCAAGTCCGCCGGGGTTGACTTTCAGGCAGACGGGGTGGGGGTGAAGGTCCCCCCTGCTCTCAGGGACGCTCACCAGGGCAGGAGACAGGAGCCAGCTCCCAGGCTGTGCACAGGGGCAGAGACCCGGCTGCTCCCTCCCACTGGGGAAGGAGGTGGTCATCACAGCCACAGCAGGCTGTCGTGAAGGCGAGTCTCGTCAGTCTACGTGCACCCTGCGTGCCGAGCACGTGGGGCACTCCATGGATGTGTCACTGTCCCCACCACTGACAGCAGCCACAGCGACCGCCGATCTAAGCGGTTCGGGAGCAAGCACAGCAGAGGCACCTGGGTGAGGGTCCAGGAGACACGTGGCAGTAAATCAGGATGTAGGAATACTGCCTGGGCCCGAGACAAACGTGAGCATGGCAGACGACAAGGAGGGGCTGCGGGATGGTTCTGCTCTCGAACCCCAAGCGTGAACGTGGCTGAGAGCGTGGCCAAGGCTTAGAGCGAGAGGACAAGAGGGTTGGACTGAGACTGAATGCATGGCTGCCACACCTGGGCACCCCTTCCTCACAGGGACACCACAGGGACCCAGGAGCTGCGCCTGGAGCCAGCTCGCTCTGAGGGACCAGGGACAAGCTCCCAGGGCAGACCTGGGCTGGGAACGAAGGGACGTGGGCCCTGCTGCTCTTGCCCACCTGGCTGTGGCTGGCACACACAGCAGGTGAGGACGCAGGCACGCACTGTCCCCTGGTGGCCAGGGAGACGCCGTGCTCCTGCGCCGGGGGCTCTTCCAGCGGCTCAGGTGACTAGCAACAGGGGAGAGGGCTTCCTTGGGACTTTGCCCGGCCCCTCCTGGGGCTACCCACGAGGGACCTGGGCAGTCTGAAAACGCTGCCCAAGAAGCAGACCTACGCTCCCAAGACCACAGTTCTGACCTCTGGTGGGCACAGTGCTTGCCGTGGGCCGTGGGGAGAGTGTGGACACAGCTAGGCTTATTTCTACATCTCAGAGGGTCTGTGCCTCAGTTTCCCTAGATGTAAAATTAGCTTAGAGAAAACACGTCTCCACGTGATGCATGCTGGGAAGTGCACCGAAAACCCCTTGATTTAAGATGCTGTGTATGAAAGATGTCTCCTTTTAATAAATAAAGTTAATGTCGTGGAATATTTCAAGATAATGTATTCTCAGATTCTGTTCTTTGCCTTAATTATGTTTCCTGTCACTTTTTATTAAATCAGGAAATTAAAAAAACTCCATTTCGAGGTAAAAGCATAACCGGTTCGTGTAAAATCTCATAACAGCAACTCCAAGACGTAGCGCTCATCAAGAGGAGCCACTTTGCATGCCGCAATAGCTTCGTTGTCAAAATTAAAAGTAAGCAGTAAATTATACGACGGCAACGCCACGCGCAGAACCTGTTCAGTTATGTTTATAAGTCTGTACTTAACAAGCCGTTCACCCACAGAAATTGTGTAAAAGGAACATTGTCTTGTCAAGGGGAGAGCTTACGGTTGTCATTTGGTGAGAAATGACTGTTGGTACAGGGAAGGAGGAGGGCGTCTCTTCGGGGCGGTTCTGGTCGCAGCAGAACCGTACGCACAGCCCGCTGGACCGCTGCGTAGCTTCACCGCGGGGCGCTTGGCCGGGAAGACCTGGTGTTTGTGCCAGAGGGGAGCAGGGTGATCGCAGCAAGGAAAATGTTTCCATTTAAGACCCGTGCTCCTCTGGCCCTGGCCAGGTCGCTCAGCTGACTACAGTGTCCCGATACGCCAAGGTTGTGGGTTCGACCCCCGGTCAGGGCACATACCAGAATCAACCCATGAACGCGTGAATGAGTGGAACAAATTGATGCCTCTCTCTCTAAAAAAAGAAATTTACATAACTTCTCACCCTTTCTCTGCCCTCCCCTGGCTGTCCTGGGGAGTGGGAACGGAGAGCAGGCTGTGCACCCGGCCTCCGTGGGCAGACCAGGGCTCAGAACAGGAGTGGCTGTCGCACACAGCACAGTGGACAGGGAGGGGCCGTGTGGCTGACACACATTTACCACCCACACTGTGCAGAGTGACACCTCCACCCACCGCTTTCAGAAATGAGATGACATGCAGGAACCCACAGTTCTGTGTCCCAGGGTCCAGCCCCTAGGGAGGCCACTTTGGGAGTTGAGGGATTTGGGTTTGGACCATCTCTGTGGCCCTGGGGCGGTTACCTGCACTGGACTAAGGCCAACTCCTCTGTGCCAGACACTGGCGGAGGCTTTGCAGGGAGAATCCACTCACGGCCTGTCCTGGCCCTGTGCCCCAAGGCTGTGTGGACGTCTGTGTGCAGTGAGGTACTGGACTCTCTACGGAGCCGTTTCGTAGATTTACAGAATTGTTAGGAATCCTGACCTCCAAGTGCTTGGAAGAAAATACTGCCTCTTAAGGTGGACAGATATTAACATAAAACAAGAGCCCTTTTCATTTCTGGACAGTCTCCCGAGCACTAATGTAGTTTCTGTTCATGGAAGTGCCTTGAGGAGCCTGTCTCTTTAGGGGTCAGTGTGACTCCTTGTGCCACTGGGCGTGAGCAGGTGACAGTGGACAGCAAGTCATCACGTCACTGGGGCAGGGCTAGGACTGCCTGAGGAACACAGTGAGAGCTGCCCAAAGCGGACGAGTCAGAGAACCAGAAAGAGTTTCTGTTCGAGGAACTTAAAACCACCTCTCTGCCTGCAGAACAGAAAGGGCCACGGGTCCCAGTCACCTTGTGGACGAGAAGGAACCTCTTGCCCTGAGCCTCGGGCCCACCCCTTGCGGAATCGGAGCGTTGGGAGGGGTGAGAGGACCCGCCTCAGCCAAGGCCTCCTGTGTTCCTGGGGGTGAGGACCATCATTCCCGCTGTGCAGGGGAGGCGGCAAGGTCAAATTCCTTCCCAAGGTCCCATGCAGTGATTGCGCTCAACTCTGCTCCGAGTCCCCCACTCAGCATGTCCCTCTGATGATGACAAGCCTGCGGAGATGTCATGGCCTCCCTCCCCATCGGCCGCCCCCAGCAGCCCTCCTCACTCACCCACGGCTTCACACGCCATGTCCACGGTGTCCTCCACTTCCACCAGGATCCGACTCTCGGGCACGGCAGTGAAGTACGGCGGCTCTTTGAAACAAGAAAGCACAGAGAGCTGCTAAGCAAGGGGGGTGTACTTCAGGAGACCCCATGGCCCGAAGAGTCTGACTCCTTTTAAAAACTGTTTTGGAAACGTCACCAGTTACCCTCTGTGCACAAGCTCAGAGCTCAGTGAGCAGGGCCAGAGGTTGCATGTATTCCCAGGTCTCAGGAGAGAGTCACTACCGAGGGCAATGGCTACTTTTCAGCTTACGGGTTGACCTGTGGAACATCATCCTTCAGAGTTTAGGAGGACTGTCCCGAGAGCTTCTTAAAGGTTGGTAGTCGCGGCACAGCATCCCCTGCCCATTTACATCAGCATCTAAACCCGGCGCCAACTCCAGAGGCACACGGACCTGTCAGAGCCCGCCTACGCCAGGGCGCAGTGCAGCCTGTTAACATATTCCAAAGTCTTAGTAGTTCTTCTCCAAAATACAGATTTAATACTCCACTGCAACGCAAAATAATAGCTAAGGGCAAAAAGAAAAAGGGCCTCTCATCCATCTTGAGTAGCAAACTCTTAACCACTCGCATATCTCTGAGCACCCCGCTCGCCTGTTCAACGACAACATAGAAATAGTGGTTGCATTCAACAATGGATTTCCTCGGAGAGTCATTGTGACATTTCTCGCAGTCCCTTCAGCAGAAGCGCAGTGGACGACCAAGCTCGTGGGTGCAAAGGTGGCAGTGATTCCGTGATTATGACAAGAGGTGGCTGTGCTGGCCTTCTGTGCGGCAATTAGTTTCTGGGCACTGTCTGCAGAGGGCTGTGTTCACGGTGTGGGGTGCGGACCCCACAGCCCTCCTGCCTCCGCTGTGTCCTCAGAACAGGCAGAGCCTCCGCGGGGAGAGAGGAACGGGCACTCAGCATTTCAGGGAAATGATTCGGGAGAAAGGGCCGATGCTTCCTCAGTGGAGGCGAAGTTGGGTATCAATTTGGCAATCACCTGGGCCACGCGAGCAGAACGTCTGCCGGAATGACCCAGGGTGCTGCGAGTTCAGGAGATGGAGGCGGGATCTCTGCCCTGCTCGGTGCGTGTAGACCAGGCCTAGAGCAGACCGAACGTCCTTTGCAGGCTGGTCTGGGCCGTGTGCGCGTATATTCACGTTCGCCAGGAACCGTGGCGGCGGCAGCGCTTCTACTCTCTACGTGGCTGCACCCGCCACGGGCCGGTGAGCAGGCTGTGCCCAGTCACCACTGAACGCCACCATCTGATTACAGGGATGGGGGCAATTAAGTCAGAACATCAACATTTGCCTGATTAATTACAGTTTTCCTTTCCTAAGGGAAACATTTTAGTTTAGTTAATTGCATGGCCCCAGGGCAGTTGTAGGAGAAGGTGGAGAAGGATACTATGTATCTTGCACTCAGTTTCCTTCAATGGCAACATCTTGTAAAACTATGGAGGAAAGCACAGCAGATACGCTGACAGACATGATGGCATGAAAACAGGCAGCTCACCGCATTCCCACCCCCCCGTTTCCTGGTCCTCATGTGCGTGTGTGTGCATTTAGTTCTATGCAGTGCCATCCCCTGAGTCGGTCTGGGTGTCCACCACAAGCCCCCACCGTGCCCCTCTCTGGCCGCCGCGCGTCGGCTCCATCTCTATCATTCTGTCATTTCAAGAATGTTATATGAATGGAATCACACAGTGGATGACCTTGGGAGTTGGCTTTCCTCACTCAGCATAATGCCCTTGTGATTCATTCAAGATAAGTTACATTTTGATGATGAAAATCCATCCATGTAAATGGTCAGCGTCCACAGGACCAGACAGTTCCCAGGGTACTGATGACGGATGCCGTCTGGCACGATGGCCTGTGTCCTGATGCTCTTTCTTATTCGGCCATGCCCATGGAGGCCCTGGGTGCTAGGGAGGGACCTAGCTGGTCACGCTGCACAGGGATGAAGCTGGCCTGGGCTGAGCAAACGTGTAGCTCTGGGGCTGCTGGAGCGCTCGGGACCTGTGGCGTGAAGAAGCGGCCCTGGTCCCAGCCTCAGGCTTCTCGCGTGGAAGCCCGTCCTCCACAAGGAGGACACAGTCAGCAGAATGAGTGCTGACTTGGCAGTGTGGGCATCTGGCCCCCCCTGGCAGACGTGGGGGAGAGGCTCCCCTGGCATACTTGGGAGAAGGGCTTCTACACCGGGTGGGCGAGATACGCACAGAAGCCCTGCCTTTTAACACATTCACAGTGGTTTAAGGAAAATGTAAGGTGTCTTTTTAAATTGTTTTTACATGTAACCTGTATTAGAAGCACCCAAGTTAATTACTGGTATCCTAACACCGCTATAGAACTTATCTGCGCGGGAGCTTATAACTGAGTGAAGCCCAGAAAATAGAGCTATTACGGAACTCTTTCTAAGACAGAAGTTACATTTGTGTTGGCGAACACCAAGCGAGGTCTGGGTGGCCTGCATCTGGGTGCAGACAGGCAGGCCAGCTCAAAGGGCCTGAGATGAAGCAGGGACCTGGAACCAGGGGGCAGGGCGTGCTGCGCCGGGCCCTCTGTTCATCCAGGCTCCTGCCGCCTGTCTTCCCTGCGCACCAGCCCACTGTGATGGAGCGCAGTCTGTTCTCGGTGAGCGTGCTGATGCGTCCACACTGCTCCTCGTGGCTGACCAGACGCCGAAGGAGCTGGGATAGAGGGAGGCCTCAAGCTCCTGCTGAGGAAGGTCCTCACGAGGGGTCAGCGGTGAGGGAAACGACGTGTCTGCTCCGAGCTCTGGGGGCCTGCTCCACGCCCACTCTGCTGGCACAGCCGCCCAGACACTTCCTGGAGCAGAGCAAGAGCACTGTACTGCGCTGGCCCGTGCCATTCCCGGCCTTCCATGCCCAGAGCCAACACCTCTGCCCAGGAGAGGCGGCGCTCAGCAGGCCTGGCAGACCCTCCAGCTGGCGCCCAGGGTCCTGGCCGCTCTGCCGCTGGGGCCATGGTGTACAGGGCAGGTGGGTGGGTGCCAGCCCCACGCCTAGCACTGTGTCTGAGAGGTAGGTGGAGGGAAGGAAGGAGAGAAAGGCGAGAGGGAGAGAGGCCTTTACGTGGGACGCGGACCTTTCAGAGGTGCTCGGCCTCGGCTCGAGAAGACCTTACAGTGCAGCTGCAGACCCTCCTCACCGTGACACCGCCGCCAGCCGGGACGGACAGCGAGTGTCATGAAAAGTGGACGGTTTGAGACACATGGAGACAGCTGTCGCCAACAGTCACTCTCACCGACTCAAGCTTCTCAGCGGGAGCGAGCTGGTCAGCCGGGACGCACACCTGCACGGAACGGACGGGCGTGCCCACTCCGCCGCTGCCCGCCAGACGTGCGCCCTGCGTCTCCCGACGTCTAGGAGGGGCAGCGCGGCTCTATGTACCCCTGGGAAGAGCAACACTTCCACGGCCTGTGCGACACGTCCGACCTCAGGGCCAGCAGGTGCGGGAGCGCGTGTCCCGGGCCTGGTTGTTGGTGAAGACGCCGAGTCCACCAGCAGCTGACAGAGCTGCCGTTCCAGGGCCCGTGGGACCCACACCCCACTGCTCCTCGCACTGTGAGCACAGCCGTCACCTGTCTCCCAGGTGTGGAGGCCGGGGCCTGGTGCAGGCGGTGGCTGCGGCCGTGGGAGCGTGCGCCCCGCCGTCTCCGGAACCCGTGCCGTCACACACGCGCAGGGCCGACCCGCCGCGTCACACGCTGAGAAGGGCAGCTGAGATTCACGGCAGCAAGCGGCGGTGTTCGGGAGGAGTCCTGAGGGCACCCTGACCGGTGAGGACCAGGGGAGAGCATCGTCCAGGCCCTGGTACTCGAAGGGCTCAAGTCACCGCCTGGGGTGGCATCGCCCAGAAGCAGACCCGGACACGGTCTGCGGCCAGCAGCTTGAGGCGACAGGAACACCTCTGGGGACAGGAGGGCAGCTGACAAAGGGCACGTTGTCGAGGCAGTTCCTGCCTGGGAACACGCCGGAGGCCAGTGGAGAGCAGCCTTCGAATGACGCCCCTGCCTTGGGGCTCTGTCCACCATCCGCGCTGGTTGGGGACTGTTCCTGGGAGGGTTAACCCCCAGCACTTCCAACCTGCCACACGGGGGGCACCACAGAGCCTGCCGCCCCATGTGGGGTGCATGGAGGGGAAGTGGAGGTCACTCTGAGGGGGTGGGGACAGGCCAGGACCAGCGCGGTGAAGCAGCAGCAGGACATGGAGTGGGGTCAGGAGGGGGACGTGAAGGCCAAGCCCGAGGCTGGCGCTGCCCCGTGGTGGGCCCCCGGGCCTTTCGGCAGGTGTGACGGTGCCCGCGTCCGACCCTGGTGCCCCTGTCCACACCACAGGGATTAGGCAGCACGGCAGGGAAGGTGACAGGCGGAGTAAACAGCTGCGTGCGTCTGTCTGGTCTCATCAGTGTGAAGTAAACGTAATGGGAAGCCAATTTGTCTCTGCTTTCTTCCACCTCATGTTCACGAGCTCTTTCCACGCTGGCTCCCGGTGACAGCCCCGTGAAGCTGGTAACGTTTCTGAGGGCCCCCGCTCTGAGACGGCTGGGCTTGGGGTGATCATCTCCCAAATCTCTCTGAATTGACAGGGGCTCCTCGGGGCTTTTCCAGGATGACTCAACCACAAAATCCCACCTGTCACAGCAAATTCTTATGAATAAAAGGGATTAAATCGACAGCCCGAAGAAGCCAGTGTGTTCTCGAGCCTTTGAAAGCCAGACACAGAGCGCGGTGCCTCGGGAGGGGCACACACCTGCTCTGGATTCAGATGTAAATGCGAGGCAGAAGTTCACGGAACAGACCGAACTGCTGTTCGAAGGAATTATGATGGAAGCAAACATTCCGCTGACAAGGAGATAAAGTTCTGTCTGTTACTGTACATGGTCTGAGCACAGGCAGTCCCGACGACTGGAGGGACACACCTCACAGACTTTAATGTCGGCTCCGTCTGCCATGGTGCGATCTACAGCTCAGCTGATGAGAAGGCCCTCGCGGGAGTGGGGTGTGGTCTTCACGTGGACCGCGAAGGGGGCGAGGAGGGCCGCAGGCTAGCCAGCTCAGATCCCTCGTGGCACCCACAACTGCCTGCCGTGCCAAGCCTGCTTTCTCGGGCACTTTTAAGACTCTCACGTCGTTCCGAAGGGCTGACGTGACGGTCTGCATGGCAGGTGTGGGGCGGTCATCTCAGGCCGCAGGCCATTCCAGGGGCAGGAGACAGTGACGTGCCACTGCCCTCCGGCAGCGGCCGCCCCCGCGAACGTGTATGGGAAGAGCCGCTGGTACTCTGCTCCGTGTGCGGAGTGGCGGACGGCGCACAGCGTGAGGCTGCGGCTCTCTGCAGGGTCCCCTGCACAGTCCACCTTCCTGGTCTCCCTGCCCTTCGTCCTGAAGGGGAGGGAAGAGGTAGGGACGCCCTTCCCTGGAGCAGGCCGCGAAGGCGCCACTTATCTGCAGTGGCCACGCTCTGTGGACAGGTCACTGTGACAGTGATCATGGCCACGTAGGATGAAAGCAGTGGAGGAGCTGAATCAATGGGGGGGTGTCGCCCGTTCATGGTCTCATGTCACTGGATCACAATCTGAACGTACACTGAGGCTCCCCTCGTCTCAGCACAAGCCCACTTCCCAAACCCCGATATCCGCCACAGCATTCAGAGTGGCCCGAGGCCTAGTTTCCCCTCCTGTTCTCCTGGGTCCAGGAGTGGTACGTGGCTCATGTTCCAGGAAGTGCCTCTGGCCTCATTTTTTTCATTATTGTTGTTATTTTTAATCCTCACCCGAGGATATTTTTCCATTGATTTTCAGATAGAGTGTAAGGGAGGGAGGCAGGAAGGCGGGGGGGGGGGGGGGGGGGGGGGGGCGGGAGGGGAGGAAGAGAGAGAAACATTGACGTGAGAGAGACACATTGATTGGTTGTCTCCCGCACGATCCGACCAGGGCCAGGGATTGAACCGCAACCAAGGTACATGCCCTTGACCGGAATTGAACCTGAGACTTTTTGGTCTATGGGCTAATACTCTAATCGCTGAGCCAAACTGGCCAGGGCTCTGTTGTCGTTTTTAATTTAATGAAAAGTAACATCAAACGAACACCTTCTAACTTTCTTATGGGCCAACAAATAACAGGAGTGGAATAATCTCGGACACTGGCCACACAGCCAGTGAGCGCCACAGAGGAGCCCGGCAGCGCTGGGCAGCACGAGGAGGTGCCCTGCATGACAGGCCTCCCCACCCGGCGCCCCAACTTGATCCCGGACGCATTCAGAACATCCACTCTGGATTTCACGCTGTTACTGGGAAAGATCACTGGGGTGAACTTGGGAGATAAAGTCAACGTCCCCGCCTAGTGCCGGGTTCAAGTGAAGGGGCGAGAGGCAGCTGTGGCTGCTTTTCCGGGGAGGTGCCTGGGGCTGCTGCCCGAGGGTCCGGGCTCGCCCGCTGAGCGTACCTGTGATGGAGACGAAGGCCTTCGCGCGGGCTGGTTCGGAGGCGCTCCCCGCCAGCGCCGCCTCGCAGACGTACTCCCCGGTGTCCGAGGTGGTTGGGCTGCTGATGGTGAGGCGCCGCCCGAAGCTGCGGAGCCCGCTGGCCAGGGTCACCCCGTTCCTCTTCCAGCTCACACTCAGCTCCTCGAGGGGCCTGGGGGAGCGAGGGTGTCAGGGATGAGGGCTGGGAAGCGGGCAGAGGGCAGCGATAACGACTCCCGGCACTCAGCACAGCGAGTCCTGCCAGGGACCACGGTGGTGAACAACGGACATTCGGGACTGGTCCCCACCCCCTCTGCTCCCTCGGGTCTCACGTCGATGGGCACCTGCTCAGGGCTGCCGAGTGAGGACCACTGGCCGTAAGCGCTGATGTCCCACTCGCTCGGAACAGAAGGTATAAAGTAAGTGCTACTGGGTGTGGGGAGGGGGCACGGCCACAGGCGCCACGGTCACAAAAACTCCGTTCTGGAGAGAGAACACCTGGGACTAGAGACAGGACAGCCTCTCCCGCCTCAGCCAGGCTCTCAGAGGCCCCTCTGTGCCCACGCAGGAGGGCACTGAGTCTCCTGGGGAGGTAAATGCTGCCGCGGAGGCTGGGGGTGCAGTGCTCCAGCTCCCACACGAGCTGCGCTCGGCCCCGCTGTACCGACAGGACGCCGTGGCCAGGGGCTCACCCCGCTGGCGAGGAGTCTCGTCGCCGTCATGACAGACGAGGGCCGGTGCAGACCAGCCGCTTACCTGGCATTTGCTATGCACTCCAAGGTGACCTCGCTGGACCCCGCCACCACGCTTCTGTTGCCCGGGGGAATCACGATGACGGGGGCCATGGTTCCGGGTGCACCGACGTCCCCTGCGGCAGACAAAGCACAGGTCGTGAGACGCTCCTGAGTCCAGAAGGCGAGGGGGCTGGGGACGACCACGGAGAGCCCGTGGGGCTGCTCTGGGACACCGGCATTTCACGACCCACTGCCAGCCTCCTTTGTGAGGGGCCGTCCGTGGTCTCAGAGCCTGTGGGGGATCCACAGCCCGAAACTTACATGTGTCTCCCAACTAGGAGTCCGGGGACTGAGTGTACCCCGCAGATCTAGGGGTTACACTGCTGAGCACTCTCCACAATGCCTGCTGACTTCATTCTTTTGTTAACTGATTTCAGATGTTGCTTATAGAGTTACCTAGTCCGCCCCATTTTAAAATCTGTTCAATGGTACAAACACGTCCGGCGCCGGGGCTCTGCGAGTCACGCGTGTCGCGAGGAGGCGGCCAGAGCTCTCACCCGGGCCCTGATGCAAACCCACTCGGTGACTGGGTGTCCGGCTGCTTGGCACACATCCGAGCCCTTCTTTCCTGAAGGTGAGTATCCCAAGTCATCTCTGCCCTGTGAGTTCCAAACGCTAAGCAATTCAGCTCATACTTCTGGTGACAAGGGAGAAAAGGAGGACACATTTTTGCCACTTTTCTCTAAAATACACGTAATATCAAAATGAAACTACCCACAGTCTACTCCACTACTGTTTATTTAGGGAAAATGAAGACTGATCAAACGTTTCTAGAATATGAGTTTCAATTTAAGGGTAGAGACGGGAGCCTGGAAATAAAAATAAATTTAAACCACTGCAAACGCGAAAACGTTTCATGTAGCACTTTGCACTGAGGAGACCCACAGCCGCGCTGAGCGGCTGATGAGGGCTCGGACAAATGAGGGGTGCTGGACGGCGGGGTGGCCGTGGGGTCAGGGCCATGGATGCAGCAGAGCCAGCAAATTAACTCTGTAAAAGTCTACACACTGATCACGTGGATGTGAGGCCGAGTTGGTCTCCATGAAGGGACTGGGGGCTGGTTATCAGACTGGAGGACATGTCACCGTACAGACACGGTCACGATGGGATGAAGGACGAGGGCTGAATGCCAATCACATCAGCAGCCTGCCTGTCACCTGTGAAAGTCGCTGGTGAGGAGAAATGGCTCGAGAAGCCGCTATCTGAAATAGCTCCGCGGCGGGAGGGGGAGCAGTGGCGGGTGTGACGAGGTCGCTGAGCTCGGCACTAATGTGGCATTGATCACTGCTCAGCCGCAGCACAGAAGAGGAGCCGTGCTCAGCACTTGCTCCTGCCCCGGAGGACGGTCCCCGGCTGGCCAGCTGACCCGAGGAACTGTGCACGAGACCAAGCAGCACCAAGGCCAAGTTACAGCCCCTCAGGGACACCCGGGCCAGGACGCGGGGTGCCGCTGGTCTGGCAGGGATTCAGCCACGGCGATGGAAAGATGGGTCCTCTACTGTGACCCCTATGGAACAGGAACTGTCTTTGCACCCCACTTTTAGCAACACCCGTATTATGCCCCGTGGGTCCATGGGCGAGATGAGCGGCTGGCTGAACTCGGGGCTGGTCCACGTCAGTCTGTTCTCAGACCTGGGCCTCGCCACCCACTCCTGGGCTCCTCCCGGCCACACGAGAGCCGCATGTGACCCGAGTAGAAGAAGCAGGTGAAGAGCTGATGGAAATGTCACAGTTCCCAAAGGGGTTGCTGCCGAGGTGACCTTGGTGTAGAGGAACTAGCTCCGCCAGAGCCCAGCCTGGGCACTGTCTATGGGACCGCGAGCCTGGCAGCACCTTCCAGCAGCAGGGACGGCGCTCATCAGAGAGCTGCGGGGCTCCCGCCTTCGCAGAGACGGTTTCAAATGCAGTCCGAGTCGCATGAGCACACGGGCTAAAAGGAAAGTGCAGAGAGGCTTGGAATGAAATGCGCACCGCCCGCCTCCGTGCACCTCTGGTTTGTCAACTGGCAACTTCAGTCTGGAGGGACCTGAACCCCCGGGTGCAGAACCCTTTCCCCGGGCCATTCGTACTCACTGGAGGGTGTCCCCACCTGCCTGTTCATTTTGGATACTACTCTGCACACAGCAGAGGGGCAGGAAGCAGCTCCATCCCACACTATAATTATGCCTGGTTTTAGCTCTAAGTCAAAACTAGCCCCTCTGTGACCTCGTCACAGCAGGTGCCCTCATGCTGAGACCTTCTCCCCAGCCACCTCCCTCCATCCGAGAGCTGCTTTCTCTACACAGGTTTCCTCTCTGGCTCGCCGATGGTGTCTCCCTCCCTCTGCCTCCTTTACTGTTCTGGAGGTTTTGCTTTTCTGAGTGAGCCGAGATCACGGGTGTGCGTTCTCAACCTGCCTCCCCGACTCTCCGCAGTCTGCTCCCACATTCCCTTCGTGGAAGAAAGAGGTGCGGAAGAATCCGGGGGAACTCTTAAACGAAGAAAACCAGCTCTTTATTTCTGCTGCTCCCGTAGAATTTACGATATGATGAGTACTCAACAAATCTCCATGATTGCTTATTTTTTCTCTGCAGTAATGAGTTCCTACTACCTCCAGCAGAAATATTACTCTCTCCCTCAATGTTCTACATTAAAAACAGTTCTAAAATTCCAAATGTCAATGTGTTGAGAATTATGTCCAAGGAGGAGGAAAAGAAAATGGGGCGAGGGATGGGGACTGTGTTTACCCAGCACCACACAGCACTAGACAAATGTCACCCCATTTAATCTAACCAGGCGCTGAGATATCTATTATTGTCTAAGCAAACTGAGGCCCAGCGTCACATGACTTCAAATGGTGAGAAGGGTTTAAATAGAGGAATGTCTTCATTCACAGTCCGTCATCTTTCTTTCCCATCATGGTGTTTCTTCCTCATCAAAACGTGGCCTGTGCTCAGTTACCCAGAAACGAGATGAACCAGAACACGCTTCCCGCAAGCGTCTCCTAAACTGAGAACCGACGGCTTTTCCACCAAACGTTTCCCAGGCTGGTTTGGGGTGGGTGGGGTGAAGACATCCAATCAGCAGAGAGGCCTGCGGAGCTCAGCAGCACCCGGCACAGGCAGCTTCCCAGGTGGGGGGCAAAGGCACCCTCAAGCCCTCGCTGCAGCCGTGAGAATGACCCCGGCGGAGGAACGTGGCCGAATCCTCCTCAGGTCCCCCACACCCACCGCGTAACGGGTGATGCGGCCGGGCAGGAGAATTTGTCCAGGTTGCACTTAATTGAAAATAAAGGCTCGAAGTCCACTTGGAAGCGAGTGGATAAACGGAGGGAGAACACCCCTTCGCTGCGGTCAGGCACCGCCCTAGGTGGACAGCACGTGCAACAGTGGTGACCGGAGAGGTAGGGACACAGGAGGGGCGGGAGGTGATGGGCCAAGACCTGTGGGAAGTGAGGAAGGAGGGGGCCTCGTGGCTCTGGGACACAGCTCTGCGGTGGGGCTCGAGGGCGCAGGCAGGACCGGTGTGTGTCGCGGGAGGCACATTCTTCCACAGGGAACTAGGAGAGGCTGAGCCAGCTCCTCCAGACAGGTGGGCATTCACGACAGACAAGGACGAAAAGCATTTTAAAAACAGAAACGCAGGAAGGTGGACACTGGTGTGGCTCGTTTGGAAATCTGCACGCAGTTCCTGCTGGTGGGGGGACCCAGGAGTGGGCATGGCCACAGAGGAGACTGTGGGGTGGGCGGGCCCTGAGCGCTCGCACCTGCTCAGTAAGGAACTCGGAGGCGGCTGTGATCAGGCCTCGAACTGCCTCAGCGGGTCAACCCGAGGGAGGCTCGAGACCGAGGGGCCAGACAGGAGCCGGCCACAGAACTTGGGGAAGGTGAAGACAGGGGAGGGGTGGGAGGAACCGGGAGTCTGGGGCTGGGTCTGTGGCAGACTCTCCCCCGGGTTCCTAGCTTCAGTGGTTGGGTGGACGACGGAGCTACTCACAAGGGTGAAGACTTAGGAGCAACAGTGGAGTTGGGGGGAGGGTGTGGATGTCAGGGTGGAGGAGAGGGGAGCCCACGGTCCCGATGTGCCGCGGGGATCTCGTGAGCAGGCGCAGGCCGCTGGCTGGGCCGCGGGGTAGGAGTGGTGGCTGCAGCTCCAGGGCCCAGCAGGACCACTCTGAGCAGGAGGGAGGAGGACAGCCCTGGGACACAGCCCCAGCCAGCACGGACTCCCAAGGCAGGCTCAGCGTCCGTCCGTAGGCCCCGCGATGACGGCGCAGACCAGGGAGGGTGGAGAGAGCTGCCGCAGGTGAAGGAAAAAGCAGCCCCTCTCCCCAGTGGGAGGACCCCCAGAGTCGGGGCCACTGCTGCTCCGTCTTCGAAGAGGACTCCGCGCTTACCTCGGGGGCCAGCTGCTGAGGACACAGAGCTGTGCACGAGTACACGTCCTGACCTTCCCCACGGACGCCCGCCCTGGACCGCAGAACAGGGGGAACGGAGCAGAACTCAGCTCGCCCTTTTGTTCGGTTCCGCAGCTCAGTTTCTGCAAACAGGCTGGCCGTGGCCTTTCTCAACCTGCTTTCTGACGGTAAAAAGTGCCGTTTGATCGGCCAGTCTGTTGTGATTCCTGACCTTCTCCCAGGCGTAGCCAGGTACTGCTGCTCTGTTGGGGGACGGGCGGGCAGAGCTCTGAGACACTTCACTGAGAGAAAACCTGTGCTGCTTCTTATCATTCCTTGGCAGCCCCCCAAGGCTGTGGTCTTCCTCTGCACCGTTGAACAGCTGGGGAGAGGGACTGGGGGCCTTGCTTTACCTGCGTCTCCCGGGGCTGCTGGCCTCTTGCCACCACGGGCTGCTGTGTGTAAGCGCTCGGACCCTGTAATGCTAGCCCCCAGGGCACACAGTGTTTAAGACACTGAGATACACCCAAGTAAACACATCTCCAAGAACCCACAGCAGTTATTGCTTGCTCGTTAAAACCTGCGCCAGCGAAAGGGGTGAAGGCCGCAGATCATCCTCGGGGCTCCAAAAGGTGATTTCTCCAGGCAGAACCTGGGCCGTTTTAAGACACGCTTTATCGTGAAAATGAACATAAAGAG